TTTTTTTTTTTTTTTTTTTTTTTCAGCTCACATTAGATAAAAAGTAGATGTTCATGAGTGAATCGGGATACATACATTACTTTTGAGCGGATCGGTCGTTGCAAGAGTCGTTTTTCTCGTCTCTTTATCATGCTGCTTCACGTGGTTTCGATGTTTAAAATTTTCATTACTGTAGCAATGCCCATTGGCTTGCGCTTTATTTCTGCACGGTATGCCGTTAGCTGATTCAAATTTGTGACTACCGTAGCTAAGGCGCTGCGCTCGTGCGCATCCTCTTCCCTTCTCCTCTAGGCCTATGCTCATCGTCGCATCACCGCAGCTTTTCCTTCGAGTTAGATTTGGAGACTTTGGTCGAGTTAATGGCAACTGACATAAGATCCTAGTTAAAATCTTACCATCATCGCGAAACAAAGAAACATACTAATTTTACCGACACTGAAAACATATCGTTATCATATCGGTATAGAGTTTCGACGACCAACCTTTTTGAGTTCAACCTTAGGTGGTGGTCCTTCATAATAAAAACTAGGCACTGGTTTAGCTTTGATCACTAATCCCTTCCTAAGCTCTTTGATTGCTGCTTGTTGCTCTTCCTAAAATCGAAGACGAAACTAAGACGATCGTTTGGTGATTACACGACACGACACGACAAGATGGGTATCAGGGAATACCTTAATTCGTGCTTCGTATTCGATTCTCTCGGCCTCCAAAGCTTTGTGTTTCTCCTCCAACTTGTTGTAGTACTGAACAGAGAAAAAACATTTGATATATAAACAGAAAATCCCAGATAGAACAGCAAGAACATGTCTCCATCATACGACCGACGTACCTCCTTCCTTTTATCAGCACGTTTGGCTGATTGAAATGTGGGAGCTGTTCCGATAGTAACTTTAGATTTGAGCTGTCGAATTGATGCGAAGGTACTGTCAATCGGCTAAGGATAACAAAATCTGATCATATGAATGAATTATAGTTTATGAAACCGAACAAAAACATGATTCTGTGAGATCGTTGTCGAAAAAAAGGATACGAGGCAGCGGTAGACCAATGTTCTTCTTCTCCATGATGTTTCTTAAGATAAATATGTGAAGATTTCGATGATGTTTGAGGCGAGTTTGGCTGTTCTTCGTGATTTTTCTTAAGATCGTTCTGTGAAGATTTCCATGATGGTCGCGGCGAGTTTGGCTGTAGACAGTAAAACACACACGCAGAAATCAGCACATAATACTTGTTTGAACTCAAAAATCAAAGTCGGGAAGCTGTTTTCGAGTCGATAATCTTGTATTTAAGGATATATATAGGAAAAAATGCAGCTCCATTGATCTTCCTAAAAGTTGTACTTACTAATGAATTCTCTTTTGGGCCGGGAGACTTCGAGTTTGATGTGATGGCATTCGACGAAACATCGACGACGGTTGTTGGAGTTGGAGCACGTTCGGTCTCAATGGTTTGTGCGTACATTGCTCCTTTTCTCTGTACCTGAACAGTTGGTTGTTGAATCTTGTGGTTCACCCGCACGATTTTCGGAGTAACAGCTATAGTCCCAGGCGAGATAGACTTATTGAAGTCACTGATTTTCTGTGCAACAGTTCGCTCCTCCTTCTTCTTCTCCTCAGGAACAAGCAGGGGCACGGGCACAAGTTCAGGCTCAGGCTCAGGTTCAGGTTTAGGTTCAAGCTCGGATGCGGGAGCAAGCAAAGGGACAGGTATAGGCACACTAGCATCAATGATTGTGGTTTTGATGGCTAGAACACCGTCCAGCGTTTCTTGACGATTTTCATCTAACGAATTCTCCTCACTCGATTCATTATCCTCGAATTCCTCCAAATCAATACTTTCTTCTGAAGTTTTGGAGGAATCATGAACTTTGTCATGAGAAACACCATTTAAAACCATTTCAAGATCATTTGGATCCTCCACAACACAAGCAATTTCCCTACCCATGACCCTACAAAAAAATGAACATGGTATCAGTCCAAGTCCACCGCCAGCGCACATATTATCTTCTTTGGGCTTTCCCTCAAGGTTTTTAAAACGGGTCTGTTAGGAAGAGATTTCCACACCCTTATAAAGGGTATTTCGTCCTCTTCCCCAACCGATGTGGGATTTCACAATCCACCCCCTTCGGGGTACAGCATCCTCGTTGGCACTCGTTCTCTTCTGCAATCGATGTGGGACCTTCCCAATCCACCCATTTTGGAGCCCAGCGTCCTTGCTAGCACACCGGTTCATGTCCACCCTCTTCAAGGCTCAGCCTTGGCACATTACCATGTGTCTGGCTGTGATACCATTTGTAACAGCCCAAACCCACCGCTAGCATATATTGTCCTTTTTGGGCTTTCCCTCAAGATTTTTAGAACAGAGATTTCCACACCCTTATAAAGAGTCTTTCGTTCTCTTCCCCAACCGATGTGGGATTTCACAATCCACCCCCCTTCAGGGTCCAGCGTCCTCGTTGGCACTCGTTCCCTTCTCCAATCAATGTGGACCTCTCCAATCCACCCCCCCTTCCATACCCAGCATCCTTGCTGCACATCGCCTCGTGTCCACCCCCTTTAGGGCTCAGCCTACGCTAGCACATCACCCTATGCCTGATTGTGATACCATTTGTAACAGCCCAAGCCTACCGCTATATTGTCCTCTTTGGGCTTTCCCTCACGGTTTTTAAAATGTGTCAGCTATATTAGAAAGATCCAACTCAGAAAATCCATGGTTTGCCCCAAAACACCATGAAAAACAAGATCATAAAGGAAAGAACAACATCAAAATGAAATCAATCCTCAAGAACACTTCAAATATATTTGAATTGACCCATAAAATCAAAAGGGTTAATCCAGATTCCCAACTCCACAAACAAGAACTCCCACAAACAAACATGCAAGGATTCAAAAAACAAGAAAACCCCATTTCCACAAAGCCTCAAAACACCACAAGACATCAAACAAGAACCAAAAAACAGCAGAAACAGCTCAAAACACAGCATTAAGAACAGCAGAAGAGCCATATTCAACCCATTACAGCAAAGAAGATGAAAAGAAAAACAGAGGAATGGAAGGAAGAAAGCAGAAAAGGCATGAAAAACAGAGGAGAAGAAGAAGGTACCCTGAGAAACCAGCTCCTCTTGCCGATCCGACAAGATCGCCCTGGCTCCCCGCCCCTCTAACCTCGCCTCCCCGCTCTCTAAAACCAAACGAAAACAAAAGAAAATAAAACAAAGTGGGAAAATAAATTGAAAATTGGGTTTTTCTTTCTTTCCTTTCTACAAATCAAAGCTAGCGGTTTTCCTTTTTGTTAGCGTAATGATCGGAAAACAAAAAACAAAACCCCAATAATTTAAAAAATTTAAAACTTTTTATTTATAGATTATAAATGTAAAAAATATATTTTTTTAAATATATAATATATATATTTTTATTGTGGGGCCCGCCTCAAAGAGATCGAGACATCATCGTCATCATCATCGCCGTCATCCTCAGCTCACGTTTTAAATGTAATTTTCTTTAATTTTCGATTTAAATATTTGATGGTGTCGATATTCTTGTCCATCTCTCATGCAACATGACCACGTTATTTATTTATCTTGAGTTACCTCTAGAGAAGCTCATCTTCATATACCAACGTGAATTATTTAGTATGTTTTGTCTTCACTCACATGTTTCTATAAAAGTTTTTAGTAGGTCACCGAACATAGAATTACTCAAAATCAAACATACTTAATTCTGGTGTTTTTATAATTGAGCCACTGAAAATGAAGATGTACTGACATGAGTTATTGCAAAAAAAAAAAAAAGTAAGATTCAGATTATTTTGTTGATTAAATATATGAACAAGTTACATTGATTATGTCTAACTTGAATGATTCTAAACATACTTACCTATAACTCTTCGTACTGTATTTTTTAAATATAATCAAATCTATAATAATTATCATATACCATAATTAATTAATTAATAATTAATTAAAGTTGAAAAAAAAGATTAATTAATTAAAATTGAAATTTGTGAATGGTGAAGGAGGTAGTTGCTTTCAGTTGGTCTAATCCACTCCATTATTAATTGATTTAATTTTATTTTATTTTAATATTTGAAAAGGCTTTTTCACAATTAATTAATGAAATTCAATTAATAAACTAACGGCGTAAGTTGACGGCTTAAAATCATGACATGAGAATCTTCTTTGGAATTTGGTTTATTTTATAAAAAAATCATTAATTATTATTAATAACTATTTTTTTAAATTTTTTTATTAAAATATATACTTTTTTTTTAATGTTTTTTCAATTTTAGTTGAATTTATAAATGATTTAATTATAATTATATTTTAATGAAATATTAATCCTAGAATAGAACGAAATTAATGTTTAAAAAAAAAAACCAAAATTCACCTTTTTGTAAATGTTCCAAAATGTAGCGTACAAGTAGGCATGATGTCAGCTCTCTACCACTTTTGAACTCCTGTGGTATAAACAAATAAACAATTTCGTAATTTAGAAATGAAAATAGAATATTATTTTATTAATTAGATTTAAAGTTTTAAAACAAACAAAATTGGGTAGCAATATTATATATATAATAATAATAATAATAATTCAACACTATTAAAAACAAAATATAAAATAAAAACCAAACAACAAGGCCTAACTTTTTGAAAGTCAAATAGAAAATAATTACAAAGTGTTTTTTTTTTTTATAATTATTTTATTTATGTAAAGCCGTTTTTATTTTATTTTATTTTCTTTGATAAAGGTTTTTTTTTTAATTATTACCCACTTTTTTTTAATCATTCTTTTACTCAAAAGTTTATTTATTTATTCTCTCACCAAATTAAATCCCTTAATTATCCCACAAAATAAGCATATTTTAAAATATCTTTAATTGGTGGGTGTCATGTCATAATTTTGAATTGACCAATAAATAAATAAATATAAATATATATATATATATATATATATATATATATATATATATATAGATATATAGATATATAAAACTTTGGACAATATTTAATGAATATGGTATGATATTCAAACGAGAAAATAACTTTTCTGAACGAGTTAACGACCCTTATCTCAAAATGAATTTGACTCCAAAATGGCCCGAAAACGGATGTGTTTAAGTTTCGTATTTTAACCCAACGTATGTGTCAAATTCAACAAACTTGAGCATTCCTTACCGTGAAACTTAGCTAAAGATCAAATAATAGGCGAGACGCCTTTTTCACATACACTGGGGAAAGGGGTTACAATAGCAAGCGCTTCCTCGTTCAAAGAGCCTCTAAGACAAAGAGGGTCGGTCAACTATCTACTTTCGAGATTCATATTGATCCATCGGATCTCTGTATTCAACAAGATAATACGTGGATGTGATTAAACATTATAAATAATATTCCCTAAGCATATGATTGGCCACATTGGCCAATGACATGTCAATGTCCCTATCTCTATGAACAAGCTAAGTACAAAGGAGGCCAATTTGAGGCCAACTTTTTCTCCTTTAAATCTCATAAAAAATATTGTTGGTCCAATCTCCTTTTCTATTATTATTAGTTTGTTCGTATGTGTCGGTGGTGTTCGTGGGCAATAATAGATCGGGCTTGGGAAGATCCATAGAATTTCTTGTTCGTGGGGTCCAAAATTATTTTGTTTTTATTTTATGTGTAACACAAATACGATAAGATATTCGATTCTCGATATAAGAGTGTACCTCTAGAATTCGGATCATAATCCAAATTTCGAATTCGATACCTAATTACCCCGACAATCTCCTGCAACAGGGTCACGTTACTTATTTCTTACTCTTAACAGTGAAGATTATCCCCACAAATCAGCATGAGTCGATCATCCAACATAAAATTGTTTCAAGCAAAACATATCTATGATTGAACTACTAAAAAAGAAAGTACACGTTGTTGGTATATGTATTAAATTTCCGTTTTTAAAATTTTTCCTTAGTCATCCTATTCTCAGTGACCGCTCTCATTCAGATGTGGGTTTAGTTCATTCATGTACTCCACATTTACTCGGGTGTCATACTCGAGCTGACATGTTGAACTAAAAACATATGACCAATACTAATAATGTCATTTAACTATTAATATCGCATGACGTGATGACCTTTCGATGCAACCGTTCACGAGTAGGATTTATAATAAAAATTAAATTATTATAAATTTGAAAAATAAAATAGAAAATATATATAATTGAATTTTTGGTAAGTTAGTTTATTAAAAAAAAATCTTAATTAATTATTTTTTTATATTTTAAATTTTTATAAAAATTATGAAATGTGATGCGTAATAATTAATAAATATATTTTCGAATTTTAGTTATTGACTTTGAATTAGTAAAACATTTAAGATACAAAATGACAAAAAAGTCCAACGAAACAACGGTATCAAGAAAGGCAAATAAAGGGTATTTTCGTCAATCTGAAAATAGGCGAAAATAATTTCACAATTTCTTAAAAATAACTACGACTTTTGACCACCTTAAATTCCGCTGATAACGGTCAACAAAACTAACTTCCATGTTTCCAGCCAATCAAACACCGCCACGTGTTACTTTTTCCCGCGCTTTCCCCCATTAAAACCCTTCTTAACGACTTGCATCTAGTTTCGTGAAGCTCCCCCCTTCAATTTTTTTCCCGCTCCTCAGAATTTTCCCGAGAAAAACTGCAAGAGAGAATCTGTTGTTCTTGTTGCTTTGATCTGAGAGATCGAGGAATATATAGTGAAAAGAGATCGAAGATCGAAGATATGACGACGACGATTGCGGTATCAGGAGCCACTGAAACACAGAAGAAGAATAGAATTCAGGTTTCGAATACCAAGAAACCACTCTTCTTCTACGTTAATCTTGCTAAGGTATTCACAAATTGTTCTCTTGTTCTTCCATTCTTTTCGATTTGAAATTTGTTCCGTTTTTGTTTCGTTCTTGAGAAATGGAATCGAAATGTGTAAGGTAAGAACGAACCGTCAATTGATCCGATTCTTTTGATTTTGCATACAATCGTCTAATTTTAGTTTCTTCTTTGTTTAATTGTTTTATTGGAAATTTGAATCTTGCTCTCAAAGTTTGCCTTAAGATCTCCTTTCGTTTTTGATGAAATTGAGATTTGAGATTACGATTTGAGCAAGAATTTGAAACGATTTCATTCGGATAATCGTTTGATTTTAGTTTCTTGATTGTTGAGATGTTTTATCGGAAATTTGAATCGTTTGCCCTAAGATCCCCTTTCGTTGATTTTTTTCGATGAAATCGAGATTGAAGATTACGACTTTTTACATCAATGTGTTTAATTCTTGATTTAGAGGTACATTCAACAGCATAATGAGGTTGAGCTTTCTGCATTGGGAATGGGTATTGTTTCAATTCTTGAAAATCTTTTAATTTTTCCGCTATTGGTACATGTGTTTTTTGATTTTCTTATCTCAAATTCTCTGTATCATTACAGCAATCACTACCGTTGTCACAATTGCAGAGATTCTAAAAAACAATGGATTGGCTACAGAGAAGAGTAATTCTGTTAACATATTCGTTAATTCAAGTAATTTCTTGATAAAATGGTTATCACCGATGATTTGTATGGTTTTGTTGTGAAACAGAAGTTTTGACTTCTACCGTCGGCATGAAGGATGAGAACAAAGGTCGTTTGGTTCAGAAAGCTAAGGTTCGTATGATTTTGATACGATGTATTTTCATTTTTAGCCAGGAATGCTCAGATTAATCTTGTGGGATAACTTTCATTACATGAATTTGTTGGCATGTTTAAGTTTTTCATCGTTGGATATGAATTGTTCTTTTAGTTTTGAAACTTTTCGTGTTTTGGGTCGATTTTGATAGATTGTTTGATTATGAACTTCAAGTTTATATGATATGTTAAGTTACTGGTAATTCATTCGAACTTTGATTATGATCCTAGATTGAAATTGGGATTGAGTTTTGAAACGTTTCTTGTTTTGGGTCGATTTTGATAGATTGAGATCGTTCTGGGAAAGTCGGAAAAATTTGATTCTCTGATGACAGCGGCCACGGTGGCGGCGGAGGCGACAGCGGGGGGTGGCGAGGAGAAAAAAAAGGCAGGAGAGGAAAGCAAGGAGGGGCAATAGAGAAGATGAGAGGGAGAGGAGAGGGGAAGTGGATGTTACAATTCTTGTAGTTTAAGAATCACAATTCCTGTAGTTTTTGTTACTTTCATGTTCATCTAATCACAATTCTTTTGAAACTTTCCTTCTTCAACCTCGTGTTTTACCGTTCAAATTACGATGCCACAATGTTTTTCACAATGAACGATGAACAATGAACGATGAACGAGTCACGTGAATATGATTATAATGGCCCAAGCCTATTGTTCGATATTATCCTATTTGAATTTTTTCTTTTAGGCTTTCCCTCACCGTTTTAAAATGGGTTTGATAGGAAAATGTTTTTACATCTTTATAAAGAATGCTTCGTTTTTCTTTTTCAACTGATGTGAGGTCTCAAAATGCATCTCATTTTAGGACCCAGTGTCCTCATTGGTACTCGTTCTTCTCTTCAGAGGCCCAACATCTTTGTTGGCACATTGCTTAGTGTCTGCCTTTGATACCAACTGCTCAAGCTCACTGTCAGTAGATATTGTTTTCTTTGGCCTTTTACTTTCAAGCTTCTCCTAAAGGTTATAAAACGCGAGAGAGGTTTCCACACCCTTATAAATGTGATTCGGTTCCTTCTTCAACCGACGTGGGATCTCATGATAATGTTAAATAGTAGTAGGTAGCTACGCCACCCACGTAATTTAAAGAACCTAAAGGAACATAGTTCACATATTTCGCGGAACGTCGTTCGTATGTGTTTTTTCACCCTACTCAAGTCCAAACCATTAAGACCCCTTAGTGGTTCTAACCAAAGAGCACGCAATCTCTCCCCCAAAAATGACTTCTCCGATAGGATAACACATTAGATATTTATCTCTACACACGATGAAGAGTTTAGTGTATCATTTAACACATTATGGAGAGTAAGCAAGATTGCTAATCTAAGGTGCAAATGGGAGTAGACACGATAATGTCGTTAATGGTTTTAGAGACCAGCCTAAAGGAGGTCAGATAGAGTAACACTAAATGAACGTTCCATATCGATGTTTGTCTCTTTGCTACTAAATAAAAAAGGACTTATACTGTACTACAAAAAATACGGTGTTGTCTCTCAACGCCGTTCTTCGAGCCTAAGTGAGATACCCATCACACATTAATTTAATTTGTAGTTGAAAAAAATATAACTTTTACTTCTCTTGCCAATCGAACATCGCTTGTGCGGAATCCAAACTTGTTCGACCACACATGTCGCCTACGCGTGCATGTTCAATCGTTTGCGACACAACCGACTTGCCTCTACACTAGGGCGAGTCATTCGACTCGACCTTCCCTCTGCTCGAGGCCACGGTCTCTCAATGTAACGTCGCATCTTGTCTTGTCATCTCGATCCCCATCAACATAGTCCATATGTCTTGACGTCATCTCGAGTCTCGGGATGTCATCGGTCATCACAACTCGCTCGAATGGATCCACGTGTCGCTCATCTCATCGGAACTTCTAGAACGTCTATCCATCCAGGTTCTATCGAAGCATTGACCCTCTCGTGCTCAGTGTCATTTACGGATACTGTATCGGATAGCGGGTGTATGTAGCAACCTCCAACACGAGGGCTGGGGCGTAGTACCGGCACACTCGTGCCACCTGATACTGTCCTTGAAAAACCCATTTTAAAGAAAGTCGCTCAAGACACTCATCTCGACACGCTCGCCTACACTGTGACACACGTATGTGACACAGGGTCCACGGGTGGTGGAGAGCTTGAAAATTATGAATTTAATTTCTATTATTTAAATTTTACCATTTCTAATTTAGTCCGGTGAGTTTTAAAATTTTAAATCTCGTTGTTTCAATTTAATTAAATCTTCAAATTGCTCCTTAACTACTTTCACCATCTAAAAAGGAAAACAAATAATATAATATAATATATTATTATTATTATTAAAATTTTAAAATGGTTATATTATTATTAATATTTTTTGTTTTTCTATTTAAAAAATAATAAAAAGAAAACAAATGCTAATAAGATAAAATCGACCGGCCCTCTCTACCATTGTGGCCGCACGCCTCCTCTCTCTCTCTCCATCTCTCTCTCTCTTCCTCGCCAAATCTCTAAAACCCTAGAAGGCCACATTCGAGGTTCCAGATTTTCCAGTTCGAATTACTCCGTTCTCTCATACTTTTTGTACCTCGCTTCGATTCTTCAGTAGGTATGATAAAATAGGCTTATTTGCGTTGTTAATTTGATGTCTAGGGTTTGTTTGTTCGCGTGCTTTGTTATCTGTTCTGTTCGTCTATGAAGTTTTTATTTTTCCGTTAATATTTGTGATGGAAGTTGCGGAATGTTTTTAGTTTGTTTGGATTGGTTTTGTTTCAGATGGGTATGATTCATTTTGTTGGGAATAAGCCAGGAGATTTCGTGTTTCTTGGATTTTTATCGTTGACTTGGAATTTTCTAATTTTTGTATGTTCTACTGGTGGGATTTCCCTTGTCTTGTCAATTGTCAAGTTCACAGTAGATTTTTTGTTTTTCAATTCTGGATTATGATACTATCGTTCTGTCCAGAAAGGAAAAGTATATATATATATATATATATAAGCTGGAAATTTCCATATTCGAACACTTGAGGAGTGCATGTTTTATTGCTAATTTCACTTGTTAATATGAGTTGATGGCCTGAGGATTTTCAGGGTAGTTTTATATTTGTTTACTGAAATTTTATAGGTTATGCACTTTGGTGCGAATGAGGGAAATTTTTCTATATTAATTGTTTTACTTATATATGGTACTTTGTTGCAGCTTAATCTGTAAGTAACACATGGCTGACGTGGAACAGAGCTACACGCATGTCGACGATAATGAAGTTGATGAGACTGCACAAATATATGAGAACGCACAAATATATGAGAATGCTCAGGTACAGGACAATACACTAGAACAGGAGAGTACAGAGGAGCCAGAAAACTTGCACGGACTTGAGAATGAACATGTACCAGAAACCTTAGAGTTGGAGCCAAAAGAGGTGCATAATGAGGATACTCTGGCTGTTGTTGGTGAGAAGAAGTGGCCTGGATGGCCAGGAGAGAGTGTTTTTCGAATGTTGGTTCCTGCTCAAAAGGTTGGTAGTATAATTGGTCGCAAAGGTGAGTTCATCAAGAAAATAGTCGAGGAAACGAGAGCTCGGATTAAAATTCTTGATGGTCCTCCTGGAACAGCGGAAAGAGCAGTAAGTTTTCCTTCCTCCAGATAAGAACTTTTCTTTAATAATTTAGCTAGTATTTTTGTGAAAATTATTTGGATTTAAGGAGGTGCAAATGATTTAATATCAAATTAATAGTATCTATCCAGTTTTTTATTTTTTATTTTTTATTATGCATATATAATTTTTTTTTTTATTCTAATGGATATTGATGATTCATTAACAATTATTGTTTTAGGTTTTCTTAATTTTGTATTCTCAATATGTATAGCACCTTGCTTCAAGGTAGGCAAATATTGGGCATTATATTGCCTAATTAGCCCAATCTGGTCGAGCATCAAGTTTGGGCGATTATTTTTAGTTAGTTGTTTAATCTTGATTGTACTCCTGTTATATTCAAGCATGTGACATCAGTTATATGGCTGTGTAATGATGGAAATATGACGCTAAAAAGAAAATTTAGACCTTAAAGAGTTCATAAAATATTATCAATAATAACTTGATTAGAACTTGTACTAAAAGCCATTAAATCGTTGATTATAAAAATTAAAGTTAATATTCGAAAATTCTTTCGTGTCATGGAACAAACATTTGATTATAGGAAACCATTTGACACACTTAAAATGGATATGCTAAGACTTATGGAGAAGATTGAACTCCATCTTTCAAGATATCTGTGCTTCTACACCCCATCAATGACTACTAAACTGATTCTCTTACAGCTCTATAACTGCCATAAGGAAGTGTCCAGAAACTAAGATTAACCCTTTAAACTCATAAAAGCAAAGTCATAACTAAAACAGAAAGGAATGTAAGAGTATTCCAGGTAATCCCGAATATGGATACAGTTGCCTTGATTGTAGTAACAAAAAATGAATCTGTGCAGGTTGTGTGCAAAATTTAAGGCAACTACTCAATCTTCAATAGGATCCCATATTTGAAGAACCAAAGATCCAGATGCGGAGATCAGCATTCAACATTACAAAGTTCTGAAAAGTTGATCTGAATAAAGGCATCTGGAACTTTTGTACCATGAAGCACTGCAATATCTCTGGTAACTTCAGATCTGAAGGTTGATGTCAAGATTTCCAACGGGATAATAATATGAAAAATGGAGAAAACATAATGATAAATGTTAAGAGTTAAAAATTTTAGTAATTTAAAAGATGTTTATACACGATTAAAGATCTGCTTAAAATATAAATTGAGGCACTAAAACTGGCCAATCAATATCAAATAGAAGTGATGTATTTTTGCTTATGCTTCTATTGTGTCTTTGCCAATAACTGGGTCTATAATCCAACAACATAGAAGGTAATGTGAAAACCTGAACTCATTAATTTAAGGAGGAAAACATAACTATATTATCTAGTTTCTTGAAACATAGAAAGCTGGTAAATTTCAGCATTTTCCCTTAGATATATTTGCGGCCTCTTAAGTTGTCTCTGGCATGATATATAGGAAGAAATCATCCACCATTTTGGCCGTTGCCTTTTCAGATATATAGTTTGGGAGAAACTATTTTTGAATTGTTTGGTCTGCCTTTTAGTTTTGGCAACTTTATTATTCTAATTGGAAGGTGCTCCAAATTCGATGAAGAAGTTAAGCACGTTTGATGACTAAGGGTTTGGACACCTAATGGGAGATCTAAATGGAAATTAATATGAATAGTTTTTTTGTTTTTTTATGGTTCTCACTTGCAGATAAACTTAGTTTTTCGTTGTAGACCACACAAATTGGGAGGTGCTCTTTTTGTTATTTCCATTTTTTTCTACTATTGGATGCACAACACGATCCATCAATGCATATATCATTGGATACAACTGGATGTTTGTGCGAGTAAATTGATATGCTAGTGTATTTATTAGTGAATTTGTATCATTATAAGTTTTGGATGGTGATCCTTGGTTATTTTCTTATAGATATTATGAACTAATCCTATCTTTTCATTGGTTGGGCTTTTTTTTTTTTTTGTGTTTTCCCTGTGGTGAGCTCATTAGCTGGCTCTGGAATTCGACAAATTGTTTTTGCTTTTTATTTGCTATATGAGTCATTCTTTCTTTGTAGAATGGGGAATTTCAGGTTCCAGTACTTCATAATACTCATTTGATTTTTTTTGTTGTTGTGATAATTGGTCAATTTATGATGAAAATTTGTAGTTCTCACAAGATGGTATGCTTCATTTAATAGGTAATGGTGTCTGCGAAGGAGGAACCCGATTCTGATTTTCCTCCTGCGGTGGATGGACTTCTGAGGGTTCATAAACGTATTGTTGATGGTCTGGAGGGTGATAATGCTAATGCTCCTAACATGGGAGGCAAAGTCTCAACGAGACTGCTAGTTGCAGCTTCACAAGCAGGAAGTTTAATCGGGAAGCAGGGAGGGACCGTTAAATCCATTCAAGAAGAGTCAAATTGTATAGTTAGAGTTCTTGGATCAGGTGGACTTCTCTGGATGTCATTTGATTCTCTGCTTTATCGTTCTTTTACTATGTTATTCATTGGTTTCTGAGTTGATAATTATATACTCCATTTTGGTTTTCCATTTTCATTGCATTCTTATACTTGTCACCCGGGAACTTTCTGCAGAAGATTTGCCTGTTTTTGCTCTCCAAGACGATAGAGTTGTTGAAGTACTAGGCGATCCAGCTGGTGTGCACAAAGCCGTGGAACTCATTGCTTCTCATCTGAGAAAGTTTCTGGTTGACCGAAGCATTATCCCAGTTTTTGAAATGAATGTGAGTATGATTTCCTAATGATTTTTCGAACACTTCTACTTTTAATAGTATTGAAGTCCTAAACATTCCTGTTCTTCCTTCCAACCCAAATGCCCAAAAATCAGATGCAGATGACAAATCAACAGATGGAGCACATGCCACCACCACACCAATCTTGGGGCCCACCTCAAGGAATGCCACCAAATGCTGGGGGTGGTCCTGGCTTCGGACCGAATCCTCCATACATGCCACCACCTCGTCAATTTGACAATTATTATCCACCTGCTGATATGCCATCGGCTATGGATAAGCAACCTCATCATGGAATTTCTGCTTATGGTAGGGAAGCTCCTATGGGTGTTCATCCGCAAACAAATGCACAGTCAGTGCCTTCAATTGTCACACAGGTTTGATAAGCCTTCGAACTCCTGTATTTGATGTGGCTTTGCAAACTCGTCGAAGTTTTTCAAAAGTAATTCTGATGTGGTGCTTGTGTTACATCCTTCTTTCTAACTCTATCCCATTTTTTTTTATTGCTAAGACAAGAAACAAGTTAACTGCATGCCATCATCTGAGTCATTGGGTTATAAGTGTTCGCTCATTAAACACTTATCATTTGGCCCGATCCCATGGTTCCTTAGATTTTCATTTTTCCCCCATAGTTGGGATAACTCTTGAGGACTTGGTGAATATTTTATGATAATTCAGAATTTTTTTTTTTGTTGGTACTTGCAGACAACCCAACAAATGCAGATTCCATTATCTTTTGCTGACGCTGTCATTGGAACTGCTGGCGCTAGTATAAGCTACATTCGTCGTGCTAGTGGGGCTACCGTTACTATCCAAGAAACGAGGGGAGTCCCTGGGGAAATGACGGTAGAAATGAGTGGAACTGCTTCTCAAGTTCAAGCAGCCCAGCAGCTTATACAGGCAATTCTTTTTTCTGGCTTGTTTTGATCTTGCATCTTCTTGATGAAAACATTAGATATAATGTATCTTCTTGATGATTTTGCATCGTTCACTTTATTTTTGGAGATAAATCGCATTGTCACGTTTTATTAAACATACTCATTAGACCTCATCAATATGAATTTGAAGGCCACTTTCTCTGCTCTTTCCTGCAATCTATTAACATTCTTATTTAATTGTGTTGCAGAATTTTATGGCCGGTGCTGGAGCTCCAGCGCAGGCTCAAGCTGGGGGTTCGGCAGACCAAGGGTACAACTCTTACACTCAAGGTTCAGTCTATGCATCACCCCCTGCCGCAAACCCAGGTCATGCAAGTCATGCTGGAGGCTATGGCTCTGTCTACAGTACGAATTATGGGTACTAAGCCTTTGTACGTTGTAAAATTCTCCCCAACTTGGCGTGGTTGCGGCGAAATGGCATTGGTCACTCAAAACCTCCATCATTAGTAAGCTTTGCATCATGTAGCCTCCTTTTAAATAGATTCTACCTGAAAACTTTTTGAACCATTCTGCATTAGTAGCCTATTTGTATGATTTAGCGAAATCTGTCTCTCTGAAATTTTAGCACCAAGTTTTTTTTTTTTACTTATAAGATGTGATGAACGGACATTTTAAGAGGAGCTGCTACACTGTCGCACCCTAAAAATTGGAGGAGAATGAGATTATAGTATCTATTAGATCCTTTTTAAAATGCAGGTGTTGAATGGCTGCTGTGATTGGAGCTAACTAATGAGATTAGAGTATCTACCCCAAGGCAAGCCTCTCTCCTTTGCCTTCTCTTCTTAGTGTTCTTTTTTTTTTTTAATCTTTTTGTTTTGTTTTGTTTTGTTTTTTTGTTTCTGTTTCTGTTTCATAACACTTCTCGACTTATTTCAAGGCTGCTACCAAATAACATTTTCCCCCCCTTCAAAATGATGATAAAATAAAGTCGTGATAATGATTCATGAAGTGTTGAGCGATCGTCGATTGACTTAGTGGTCGTAGTTGTAAAGTCGTGATATTTGTACTTTACGATAAGACGTCGATACTTTATGATGAGAAGTCGATATGAAGAAATACATACAATACACATTCTTCTTGTATTCTTGACTTGTGCATGCCCATGTTGATCCCTTTATAACAGCTCATGTTGACCCCTTTTTCATTGCTCCACATGAACAAAAATAAGTTGTTCAAATCCTCCTTGCCTTGAGTTTAAATGAAAAATGAAATAAAATAAATGGATAGCTTGAGAAAATAGAACTCTAGGAAGTGTTTGGCCGATCGACCATCGGTGCAGTGAGCTAAACATCGAGTCATTGTTTGACCTAATAACTCTATTCGACTAACTTCGATAGTATTCGTTGTTTAAGTTTGCATATTTATTGATGAATGTTTATTGTTGAAATTTTTTCTTTTTTTCCTTCATCTTTCCCTTGCTCCCATGTTAATATTAAATGTTTTAACATATATTTAAAAATTTTAAAAATTTATTTATTAATCTAAAATGTTCTTTTTTTAATTTTTTTTATAGAATTATCCATAATATTGAAATTTTAAAGATATTTCCATAGACATTTTTATAAAATCAAAATTTTGATATATATTTTTGTCATTGATATTTGAAATATTAATAAATTTATATGTTAATAAATAACAAAATTCATTTAAAATTCACAAAATTTACTTCTTAAAAAACATAAATACCAACCTTCTAACTTCATATAAAATAAACAATTCTTACTTAATTTCACTCACCGATCGAGTATTAGACGGTGAATATGAAGTAGATCATTATCTTGACAATAACAAATAATTTCACTCACTGACTGATCGAGTACTAGACGATGAATATGAAGTAGATCGTTATCTTATTTAGATTTGGACAAAATAAAAGAAATATTTGCAACCTTGACCCACCTTTAAGCCAATAAGAAAATAAAATAAAATTCCTTTGAGGGCATATTCTTGTCTTGATCAACCAAAGTTGGAAATTGTAATGGGAGGGGCATTTTTGTCTTTTCACATCTGAAATTTTTCATTCTTTTCCCTGTGGATGAGTAGCATCTTCTTGTCACCTTTCACTTTATGCCCAAATAAGGAGCTCTCTTGTGTCTACATAGCACAAGTAAAGAATGGCAAAAACTATTTTATTATAATAAATTATATATTCCACAATTTTAGTTTAAAAACGACGCTCAATTTTAACTAATTGAGTTATGTCCCGATGACAAAAAAATGTATTTTGAATGATAGTGAGCGTTTTATGCAAATGATAGTGAGCGTTTTATGCTCGAGAGTAAACTTAAAATCATTTAATTATTAAAAATGAATACATTTGAGGAAAAAAAAAAGTAAGAGAATGAAAAGTCAAATAAAAAGTCAAAGAGTGAGAAATTTAGTGTGATGACTTACGACACCTAATGACTTCGACATTCTCGTGCCATGGTCGAGTTACTAAGAGTGAAGACTATTCCCACAAACCAACACAGACTCTTCCACCATGGTTTAGGAAAATTTTCCGAAGATCCTTAACGTAAGATTTCTCCAAGCAAAACATATTTGACTTTAGAGTTCTTATGATTGAGCTACGAACAATAAAGGTGTAAGAGATTAGGTCATTTTCGTATTCATATTTGACCAAAAATCTTAAATGAAATTACCTTGCAAGTGTCGAAATAGGTTGAAAATCCGAAACGACTGCGTAAGACAAGGTGCTGCATTGTTGTAAATCCACTGTGATTTCATCCCGAACTTCTCCCGATCTCACTTTTGGAATGTTTGGAGCGAAAATTAAATAATGATTTAAAAAAGTTATAAGGCTCCATCTCCACTTCGAAGTTGCAGAGACATTCGCCATGGATTCCCAAAAATCAACACCTCTCCAAATTCCTCTTTCCGACTCCATGAATTCCGAGTTCTATGAAGTTATTAGCTCAGGAGATCACAACAAATTCCTCTCTCTCATCGCCGTCAATCCTTCTCTCCTCGACCAAACCACGGTCTAGAAGAACACCGCGCTCCATGTCGCCGCCGCCTTCAACCAGAAGATAATCGCCGAAGAAATCACGCGGCTGCGCCCTTCGATTCTGTACGGAACGAACTCGAAACGCGACACGGCGCTGCATCTGGCCGCGAGGCTCGGGAGTTTCCAAGCAGCGGAGTATTTAATCGAATGCGCGAAGGCGAGCGATGGCTGTGAGGATCTGGAAGCGGATGATCGGAATAAGGAGTTGATGCGGATGGTGAATTTGGAGGAGGATACGGCGCTTCACGACGCCGTGAGGAATGGCCATGGCGAGATTGCGAAGCTTCTGGTGAAGGAATGTCCGGAACTGGTGGCGTGCGCCAACGGAGTCGGGGAATCGCCGCTGTTTGTGGCGGTGGAGGAGGATTATTTGGAGATTGCGCGGGAGATTCTGAAAGTTGAATCGAATTGCTTGTACGGCGGAAGAGATGGCGCCAATGTGCTACACGCCATCATCATTCGCACACTCAAACGTAAGTTTCATGATATAATTAATTTAAATTTTATTTGATTATAGTAAATTAAAATGTAGATTTTACCTCGGGAACCCACTCGGAACGAAGAGAGAATTCTAGTTTAGACAGAATAGGGGAGGGAGTGGGGGTGTTCGTGGGTCGGATTAGGTCAGATTGAAACATTTTTTTCATATGTGAATACACTTGCATCGTAAGTAGTATATTGATTGGTTCGGTTTATGTAACCGCCCCGCCACACCCTTATAAAGAGTAGTTTGTTCTCCTCCCCAACCAATGTGGGACATCACAATCCAACCCCCTTCGGGGCCCAGAGTTCTTACGGGCACCGCCTCGTCTCTACCACCCTTCGGGGAACAGGGAGAAGACTGACATATCGTCCGGTGTCTGGCTCTGATACCATTTGTAATGACCCATATTATGGCTAGTAGATATTGTCCTCTTTGGGCTTTCCCTTTCGGACTTCCCCTCAAGGCTTTAAAACGTGTCTGCTAGGGAAGGTTTCCACACCCTTATAAATGGTGGTTTGTTCTCCTCCCCAACCAATGTGGGACATCACAGTTTAACCTAATTGAATTTTTTTTATTTGAATCAAATCCCATAACCGAATAGGTTAATTGAGTTGTTTGTATTTTTTCGAGTAAATACTGGTGACTTTAGTCTTTATAGCTCAAGCTTAAGGTTTACTTATACTTTGACAGAAGTTATTCGAGTGGTGTTGAACAAGTTCCCTAACATACTAATAGAACCGGACACTTACGAGTGGCTTCCCCTTCACTACGCAGCCAACCTCGGCTCAGAGGAACTAGTTGAACTAATTCTAAAGCACAAACCATGCATGGCTTACAAGACAGACAAATATGGCGTCTCGCCATTGCACTTAGCAGCCAAAGAAGGCCGCACTGCCGTCCTCAAACTCTTCGCCAAGCTCTGTCCTGATAGCTGCGAGGTAGCAGACTTAAATGACAGAACAGCTCTCCATGTGGCTGTCGCCAACCGCCAGGCCTACGCTGTCCGAAAGATGATGGAGTTGGGCAGCTTTCGAAACCTGGTGAACCAACAGGACAAGGATGGCAACACGCCTTTGCATGTTGCTGCTATTACTGGAGACTATGTTATAGTCATGATGCTGGCGGCTAATGGGAGGGTTGACAAGAAGATTATGAACAAGGCTGGTTTCACTACCAATGACATTATTCGATTTAGTCCCAAGTTTAGTTGGTACGAAAAGGTACGTCTTCTTCATTCCTCTCTACCAATCTCCATATAATCTTACCTATTGTAATTAGAGATGTCTACGGAGTCGGGTATAGGCAGAGAAACTGTCAAGGATTGTTGAGACGGAGTCCCACATTGGCTAGTTAGGGGGATGATCATGAGTTTATAAGTAAGGAATACATCTTCATTGGTACGATGCATTTTGGAGAAACCAAAAGTAAAGCCACGAGAGCTTATGCTCAAAGTGGACAGTATCATACCATTGTGGAGATCTGTGGTACTTAACATGGTATCAGAGTCATGCCCTTAACTTAGCCATGTCAATAGAATCCTCAAATGTCGAACAAAGAGGTTGTGAGCCTCGAAGGTGTAGTCAAAAGTGACTTTAAGTGTTGAACAAAGAGTGTACTTTTTTCGAGAGCTCCAGAGAAAAGAGTTGAGTCTTGTTTAAGGGGAGGTTGTTCAAGGGTTACATAAGCCTTAGAGAAGACTCTATGGTATATTTTGTTTGAGGGGAGGATTGTTGAAGATTGTTGGGATGTAGTCCTACATTGGCTAATTAAGGGGATAATCATGAGTTTATAAGGAATACATCTCTATTGATATGAGGCGTTTTGAGGAAGCCCAAAGCAAAGCTACGAGAGCTTATGCTCAAAGTGGACAATATCATACTATTGTGGAGATCTATGATTACTGACACGGTATCAAAGTCATGTCAATAGAATCTTCAAATGTCGAACAAAGAAGTTGTGAGTCTCGAAGGTATAGTCAAAAGTGACACAAGTGTGTAATTGCTCGAACATAAAGGGTGTAATTTGTTCGAGGGCTCTAGAAAAAGGAGTCGAGTCTCGATTAAAGGGAGGCTGTTCGAGGACTACATAGGCCTCAAGAGAGACTCTATGATTTCCCACATTGGCTAAGTAAGGAATACATCTTCATTGGTATCAGGCCTTTCGAGGGAACCAAAAGCAAAGTCACGAGAACTTATGCTCAAAATGGACAATATCATACCATAGTGGAGATCCGTAGTTCCTAACAGAAACCTCCGTACCTGTCTTCTGTCTCCGCCTCTACCTTCTTGTACTTATATCAGAAACCAAAAACTATCCATTTGATCTTCTTCGTTGTGTAAAAGATGCAGTCTTTCAGCGTGGCACGGTTGGAGTTCAATGGAGATCTACGAGGCATGGAACAAGTGCTTGCTAGAAATGGCAGAAGCAACCAATTGCTCGAAAAAGAGGAACCAAAACCAAATGCCGCAGAACAAGAAACCAATGGAGAGCTTGTGAAGAAAGACAGTACCAGACAGCTACAGAAGTCCCAAATATGGAGCGAATTATCCGACGCCAATCTAGTCGTAGCGACGATTATCGCAACGGTATCCTTCAGTGCCGCTTTTCAGGTTCCGGGTGGATACAACTCCGAGGGGAAAGCGGTTCTACGAAAGGAGAAATATTTCAGATTGTATATGATATCAGATGCTCTGTCTTTTGGGTTTGCAGCGGCATCAATGTTTGTGACGTTTTTTACGGGATTGTTCGGAGAGAATTCTGGGTTCAGTTATCCGAGAAGGTGGTGACATTCTTAACAGGTATCTCTGTTTGGTTTATGGTGTTTGCATTCATGTTGGGGACGAGTGCAGTGATGGCAGAACATTCAGGGTTTGCAGGGCTGGTTCGTTCTGTGGCTTGTGTTTCCTTTATTTGGCCTGTGGTTTTCTTAGGGGCTGTGGCATGTTTTTTATTTTTTTGTGTGAGAATTATCTGTTCTTATCTTTAAAAGTGTGTATTTTGCCTCTCGTTTCTCGTTTCTGCTCATAATTTATTAGTTGATATGATCGAGTTCTTGTTTGATTCCAATCTCGGCAAGTATTCTAGAAAGAACAAGTGGTTTCATGTAGCTACCTATGACTCATCTTGCCTTGTGTTATTAGGAAATGTCTAAGATATCTGACTTTCGTTGTTATCCCATAGCTTCACAGAAATTCTGTAGAGGTTCTACATAATTTCCTTCAGATTGAGTCGGTATCCATTATAGTAGTTCGTTAATCCCATTTTTTTGCTCTTGTTTCTGCTTGTGACCTATTAGTTGATATGATAGGGTTCTTGTTTGGTTCCAGTCTCGACATGTATTCTAGAAAGAACGACGTGGTTTCATGTAGCTACCTATAGCTCTTCTTGCCTTGTGTTATTAGGAAATGACTAAGATATCTGACTTCCATTGTTATCCCATGACTAAGGTATCTATTACAGTAGTTCGTTACTCCCATTTTTGGCTCTCGTTTCTACTCGTGGCCTATTAGTTGATATGATAGAGTTCTTGTTTGGTTCCATTCTCAACGAGTATTCTAGAAAGAATGGCATGGTTTCATGTAGCTACCTATAATTCCTCTTGCCTTGTGTTATTAGGAAATGCCTAAGATATTTGACTTTCGTTGTTATCCCATAGCTTTACAGTAATTCTATAGAGCTTTTACATAATTTCCTTCAAATTGAGTCGGTATCCGTTACAATAGTTCGTCACTCCCATTTTTAGCTCTCGTTTCTGCTCGTGGCCTATTAATTGATATGATAGGATTCTTGTTTGGTTCTAGTCTCGGCAAGTATTCTAGAATGGTTTCGTGTAGCTACCTATAGCTCATTTTGCCTTTCAAGCTTGCCTTGTGTTATTAGGAAATGCTCGAGATATATGACTTTCGTTATTATTCCATAGCTTCATAATAGTTTTGTAGAACTTTCACATAATTTCCTTTAGATTGAGTTGATATCCGTTAAAGCAGTTCGTTACTCCATTCAAAAAATCTCTATTCCAAAACCGTACGTGAGAGTTTCATCTCGTACGAATCCTTCATGTGACGTGCATAATGAAATGAGAATAATAAATAAAAGAAAATATAATAACGATTTTTTTATATTGTGCATGAATAAATAAACTCAGTTATTTGAATAAATAATTATAAATATTTTTATATTTATTTTGAAATTTAAGTTAGCTAGGTAGAATTTTTTTAAAAAAAAATTTTAACCGTGGTTAAACAAAAAAAAAAAAAAAAAAAAAAAAGTAATATAAAAATACTAATAATATAATAATAATAATAATAATAAATAAATAAATAGTGGCAGACAGACATTTCTAAATTTTGGAAACATAGGGCTTCTTGCTCTTCAAGCTTTACTCAGAAAACTCGATTCCGACTGCAAAAATGGCGGATGGAGAAGAAGCCGCACGGCGTCATTCCGCTCTCAATGACTACCGCAAGAAGCTCCTTCAGCACAAAGAACTCGACGCTAGAGTCCGATCTCGTAAATCCCTCCCTAACACTACCTTTACAATCTATGCTCCTCTTCTTTACTTTTCTCAATTCTGCTACTAGACGACTCGATGGTTCTTTGCTGATTTCAGTAATTATTGTAGTCTTTGAATCTTCTGCAATGGTGCCGTTCCGTAGAATTTGAATTTTGGGCTGTTAATTCATCCCCCCACCCCCAATTTATGAGTTTTGGTATTCGAAAGCCCTAGTATTTCCAAAACGCCTTGTTCGGAGTTCTGGGGGAAGTGTGAGAAGATACACATGTTAAAGGAAAGAAATTTAGAAATGATCTGTTATGAAAATACAATCACTGTGAACATTAGAAAACGTTATGCTGGTTTCATGCTTAGCTAGGAAGTTTTGGGTAATGGGTTGTGTTCTTGACGGTTAGTTTATCAATTCCCTTTGCTACATTTCTACAGTGCTTACAATGTGACTTTTTGTTATTTCCTGAAGCGGTAGCGGAAGCTGAGATTCTTGTTTATTTTATGGAACCCAGTCGGATTATGTTTAATTTGTGTTTCCAGTGAGGGAGAATTTGCGAGGTGCAAAGAAAGAATTTAACAAGACGGAGGATGACTTGAAGTCTCTGCAAAGCGTTGGGCAGATTATTGGAGAAGTTCTCAGGCCACTTGACAATGAACGCTGTAATTCTTCTTTGCTATTACCTGTGCATTTGTTTTGAGACCAAATTCTCTCAAGTTGGTTGATATTGTTGGATTATCGCTGCCTTTTTTATTTCAGTGATTGTCAAAGCAAGCAGTGGACCAAGATATGTGGTTGGATGCCGTAGTAAGGTGGATAAGGAAATATTGACTTCTGGTACTAGAGTGGTACTTGATATGACAACACTCACCATTATGAGGGCTCTTCCACGAGAAGTAAGTAAGATTTTTCAAGGGAAAATAAAAGTTTTATAGTATCCTCAAATGTATGATTGCCCTAAATGTTTCGATGTAATTGTATCTGCTAGGTAGATCCAGTTGTGTATAATATGCTGCATGAAGATCCGGGTAATGTTAGCTATTCTGCTGTGGGCGGTTTGTCCGATCAGATTAGAGAATTGAGGGAGTCTATTGAGCTACCTCTCATGAATCCTGAGCTTTTCCTTAGGGTTGGCATCAAACCTCCTAAGGTACTATCTCTCTATCGCTTTGATGTAATTACCAAATTGCGGTTTTTTGTTTACTCGTGTTATTTGTTCACTTTTCACTTAAAGGGTGTGCTTCTCTATGGTCCTCCTGGTACTGGCAAGACATTGTTGGCCAGAGCAATTGCAAGTAACATAGATGCCAACTTCTTAAAGGTAGAATTTTCTCCATGTGCAGAAAGGACTTCAATATTTCCCTCTTTCCCAGCTAAAATTTAGCATCTAGCTTCTCTCTTCTCTTCGTTGAAGTATAGGTTGTATCAAGTGCCATAATTGATAAGTACATTGGAGAAAGTGCAAGGTTAATACGGGAGATGTTTGGATATGCACGTGATCACCAGGTAAGTTCTTATGTGGTATGAACATCTCTTTGCATGAACCTATTAAGAAAGATGTTCATAACCCATGCACCATCCCTTGTTATGCTTAGCCCTGCATAATTTTTATGGATGAGATTGATGCCATTGGTGGGCGGAGATTCAGTGAGGGAACAAGTGCAGATCGTGAAATTCAGCGTACATTGATGGAGTTACTTAATCAGCTTGATGGATTTGATCAGCTTGGCAAGGTATGTCCTTTGTTTACTATGTGCTGATATGATGTTTTATAACTAGCTGAAATGGAAAATATAGGGTCTTAGATCTTGTTGTCGAATGTGCTAAGACTTGATTGTTTGTCTTGGATCTTATTTGGAATTTCTTACGAACATTTTGTTTTCCGAGAGAAATATATTAACTTGAAACTGGTAAAACTGTAGGTCAAAATGATAATGGCCACAAACAGGCCAGATGTTCTTGACCCTGCACTTCTTCGACCAGGGCGATTGGACCGCAAAATAGAGATTCCTCTGCCTAATGAGCAGTCCCGAACGGAGATTCTTAAGATTCATGCAGCTGGAATTGCCAAGCATGGCGAGATTGATTATGAAGCTGTTGTGAAGCTTGCAGAGGTAATCCTGCTAGTTCTTGTTTATTAATTTCTTTCTAGTTGTTTCCACAGTCTATGGATGTTTGAAACTCTCATTTGTCCAGGGCTTTAACGGAGCTGATTTGCGAAATGTGTGTACTGAAGCTGGAATGTCAGCTCTTCGTGCCGAACGGGACTATGTTATCCACGAAGATTTCATGAAGGTAATCTTATTTTGTTTTCTCCAGCACTGTGTAGCATACTCTTCCTTTGTTGAGATGAGAGAACGCTCTTTCTTCCCGTATTCACTTTTATCATCTTTTGATGTTCAGGCAGTACGAAAATTGAACGAAGCAAAGAAACTCGAGTCCAGTGCGCACTACAGCGCTGATTTTGGGAAGGAGTGAAGTCATGTAATTTACCCTTTAGCAACCGAAAACATTTTCAAGCACAACACATTCCTTACGGGCGGGAAAACTGATATTTTCCTGGTATCACTGGCGCTCATCTTTCAACTATAGGAACGTGCTTGTATCTGATCAAAAGATGGAAGCTAATGAATCTTTCAAAACAGTATGGCTATTCTTGATCTTTTCTTTCTTCTTCCAAGCTGAGAGATGAATGCCCACTGTGATTGTCATTTACCAAACCATGATGCCTGTGTGGCTCTGTTTACTGCATACGGTTGATCGGTAAGGTTAGTTTATGAACTGTTTTTATTTGTAATATTGCTGCTCTCGTCGGTATACAACCTGGATTTGATGAACTTGATGTTGCAGGAAATTTTGTTTTCGGTAAGTGGGTAGGTGAAAATTAATTTGATTGTATTCTTTTAACTTAACTAGATTTGGATGTGTGTTTTCTTAAAGGAGTATAACTCACTCTTTCTTAAAGGTTTGTGGATTTTTTATTCGTTCCTCCAGATTAGATTTGAGCTCATAAAATCCCTTTACGTTTGGCCTTTAAAACTGAAGGTCGTATATAGCATCGAGAAAAGGAAGGAAAAAAAAAAGCGATAGCAGTGTTCAGGATTATTGGGAGTGAGTCCCACATTGGTTAATTTAGTGGAAGATCATAGGTTTATAAGTAAGGAATACTATCTCCATTGGTTTGAAGTCTTTTAGGAAATTTCAAAGCAAAGTCATGAGAGCGTATGCTCAAAGTAGAAAATATCATACTATTGTGGAAATCTATGATTCCTAACATGGTATAAGAGTCATGTCCTAAATTCAATGTCAATATTATTCTCAAATGTTGAACAAAGAATTGTAAGACACGGTGTAGTCAAAAGTAAAGTGTACTTTGTTCGAGGGGAGAAAGGAGTCAAACCGTAAAGTGTACTTTACTTAAGGAATATTTGAAAGTTTAAGGTGTTAAAGATAGAAAATAAAAAACCTCTATTACATAGCACGTGATGAAGGATGAAGACAAATGAGTATATTGGAAACGATCTAAAATCTAAAATCATAAGCTTTACATACAACCGACGCATGATTTGTAACAATTTAAGCTCACCGCTTTACATATACGTATAACTGAGCCACAGGCATCATGCTTTGGTAAATGACAATCATAGTGGACAGTCATCTCTAATAAGCTTATAGAAGGGGGAAAAACAGATCAAGAATAGCAATATTTTCACTAAATATTCATTAACTTCCATCTTTTGATCAGATACAAGCACGTTCCTATAGTTGAAAGAAAGATAAACCAGTGATACCAGGAAAAGATCAGTTTTCCCTCTCCATCCAAGGACTGCATCATCTCACCAGTCAGGAATGTGTCGTGCTTGAAAATGTTTTCGGTTGCTAAAGGGTAAATTACATGACTTCACTCCTTTCCAAAATCAGCGCTGTAGTGCGCACTGGACTCGAGTTTCTTTGCTTCGTTCAATTTTCGTACTGCCTGAACATCAAAAGATGAAAAAAGTGAATCTCATCTCAACAAAGGAAGAGTATGCTACACAGTGCTGGAGAAAACAAAATAAGATTACCTTCATGAAATCTTCGTGGATAACATAGTCCCGTTCGGCACGAAGAGCTGACATTCCAGCTTCAGTACACACATTTCGCAAATCAGCTCCGTTAAAGCCCTGGACAAATGAGAGTTTCAAACATCCATAGACTGTGGAAACAACTAGAAAGAAATTAATAAACAAGAACTAGCAGGATTACCTCTGCAAGCTTCACAACAGCTTCATAATCAATCTCGCCATGCTTGGCAATTCCAGCTGCATGAATCTTAAGAATCTCCGTTCGGGACTGCTCATTAGGCAGAGGAATCTCTATTTTGCGGTCCAATCGCCCTGGTCGAAGAAGTGCAGGGTCAAGAACATCTGGCCTGTTTGTGGCCATTATCATTTTGACCTACAGTTTTACCAGTTTCAAGTTAATATATTTCTCTCGGAAAACAAAATGTTCGTAAGAAATTCCAAATAAGATCCAAGACAAACAATCAAGTCTTAGCACATTCGACAACAAGATCTAAGACCCTATATTTTCCATTTCAGCTAGTTATAAAACATCATATCAGCACATAGTAAACAAAGGACATACCTTGCCAAGCTGATCAAATCCATCAAGCTGATTAAGTAACTCCATCAATGTACGCTGAATTTCACGATCTGCACTTGTTCCCTCACTGAATCTCCGCCCACCAATGGCATCAATCTCATCCATAAAAATTATGCAGGGCTAAGCATAACAAGGGATGGTGCATGGGTTATGAACATCTTTCTTAATAGGTTCATGCAAAGAGATGTTCATACCACATAAGAACTTACCTGGTGATCACGTGCATATCCAAACATCTCCCGTATTAACCTTGCACTTTCTCCAATGTACTTATCAATTATGGCACTTGATACAACCTATACTTCAACGAAGAGAAGAGAGAAGCTAGATGCTAAATTTTAGCTGGGAAAGAGGGAAATATTGAAGTCCTTTCTGCACATGGAGAAAATTCTACCTTTAAGAAGTTGGCATCTATGTTACTTGCAATTGCTCTGGCCAACAATGTCTTGCCAGTACCAGGAGGACCATAGAGAAGCACACCCTTTAAGTGAAAAGTGAACAAATAACACGAGTAAACAAAAAACCGCAATTTGGTAATTACATCAAAGCGATAGAGAGATAGTACCTTAGGAGGTTTGATGCCAACCCTAAGGAAAAGCTCAGGATTCATGAGAGGTAGCTCAATAGACTCCCTCAATTCTCTAATCTGATCGGACAAACCGCCCACAGCAGAATAGCTAACATTACCCGGATCTTCATGCAGCATATTATACACAACTGGATCTACCTAGCAGATACAATTACATCGAAACATTTAGGGCAATCATACATTTGAGGATACTATAAAACTTTTATTTTCCCTTGAAAAATCTTACTTACTTCTCGTGGAAGAGCCCTCATAATGGTGAGTGTTGTCATATCAAGTACCACTCTAGTACCAGAAGTCAATTTTTCCTTATCCACCTTACTACGGCATCCAACCACATATCTTGGTCCACTGCTTGCTTTGACAATCACTGAAATAAAAAAGGCAGCGATAATCCAACAATATCAACCAACTTGAGAGAATTTGGTCTCAAAACAAATGCACAGGTAATAGCAAAGAAGAATTACAGCGTTCATTGTCAAGTGGCCTGAGAACTTCTCCAATAATCTGCCCAACGCTTTGCAGAGACTTCAAGTCATCCTCCGTCTTGTTAAATTCTTTCTTTGCACCTCGCAAATTCTCCCTCACTGGAAACACAAATTAAACATAATCTGGCTGGGTTCCATAAAATAAACAAGAATCTCAGCTTCCGCTACCGCTTTAGGAAATAACAAAAAGTCACATTGTAAGCACTGTAGAAATGTAGCAAAGGGAATTGATAAACTAACCGTCAAGAACACAACCCATTCCCCAAAACTTCCTAGCTAAGCATGAAACCAGCATAACGTTTTCTAATTTTCACAGTGATTGTATTTTCATAACAGATCATTTCTAAATTTCTTTCCTTTAACATGTGTATCTTCTCACACTTCCCCCAGAACTCCGAACAAGGCGTTTTGGAAATACTAGGGCTTTCGAATACCAAAATTCATAAATTGGGGGTGGGGGGATGAATTAACAGCCCAAAATTCAAATCCTACGGAACGGCACCATTGCAGAAGATTCAAAGACTACAATAATTACTGAAATCAGCAAAGAACCATCGAGTCGTCTAGTAGCAGAATTGAGAAAAGTAAAGAAGAGGAGCATAGATTGTAAAGGTAGAGTTAGGGAGGGATATACGAGATCGGACTCTAGCGTCGAGTTCTTTGTGCTGAAGGAGCTTCTTGCGGTAGTCATTGAGAGCGGAATGACGCCGTGCGGCTTCTTCTCCATCCGCCATTTTTGCAGTCGGAATCGAGTTTTCTGAGTAAAGCTTGAAGAGCCAGAAGCCCTAAATTAGTAAATTCTCACTCTGCTTTGCTTCTTTCCCCAAATTTATATCCCACGTTCTCGGAAGTTGAAATGGCCTATAATATGCGCCACCTTATATATAATTTATTTATTATTATTATTATTATTATTATTATTATTATGGTTTAATTATAATTTTTTTCAATAATAAATTTTATAAAAAGTTTTTAAAAATATCTTACTTCTTTTAATATTTTATTTCAAAAATAATAAATAAATATATATATATATATATATTGTAACACTCAGACCCACCACTAGTAGATATTGTTCTCTTTAGGCTTTCCCTTTCGACTTCCCCTCAAGGATTTAAAACCCTGTCTGTTAGCTATTAGGGGATGCTGGTTTGTTCTCCTCCCCAACCAATGTAGGACATCACAATTGAGAAAGGAAAGAGTGTCAGCGAGGACGCTGATCCCGAATGGGGTGGATTGTGATGTCCCACATTGGTTGAGGAGGAGAACAAACCACCATTTATAAGCTATGGAAACCTTCCCATTGCAAACACATTTTAAAAGGGAAACCCGAAAAAGAAAGCCCAAAGAAGACAATATTTGCTAGCCGTGGATCTGGGTCATTACATACATACAAATATATATATATATAGATATTAGTAAATTATTTATTATATATTTCATATTTTATGATGTGTCAACAAGGACGTTGGACACCTAATGAGGTAGATTGAGATCGCACATTGAGTTGGAGAGGGAAGCAAAACATTTCTTATAAGAGTGTGAAAACCTCTCCGTAAAAAACATTTTAAAATCATGAAGCTAATGATAATTCGTAACGAGTCAAAACGAACAATATCTGCTAACGATAGATTTAAAAATCTAACACAATCAAATGCTATTAAGAACATAAATTGACATAACGACTAGCTATAAAAAATAACGAATGAATTTTCAAAGGTATTCTAGAATAAGCTCAAAATTGAAGGGTGAAAAATAAAAAATTTAAAAGTTGAGGGCATAATTGAAATTTAAATAAAAAAAGTATTTTTGTATAATTCTAATAAATAAATAAAATCTCATATTACGTATAGTTAATTATTGTGGTCAACTCATTATGGCCGCCCGGAGCTCGGCGGCGATAACTTCAAAATTCTTAACTTACCCGCTTTTCATTTTACTAAAATCACCGACGTTTTCATTGGACGGTGACGCTAACGTCTTTTATTATTTAAAGTTATATTTTGTATTTTTTTTTTATAATAATAATAATAATATATATATATATATATATATATATATATATATATATATATATATATATATATATATATATATATATATATATTTTTTTTTTTTTAACGTGATTATGAATAGATAACTTTCACAACATTTAAATGAGTGAATTTAGCAAACATTCTCATGTATCATAGCTCTCTCACTTTAACAACCTCGATCCCTTATTTTCAATGGAGGAGGTGCGGGATCGGAGTCAGTGCCTTGCGTATCACCACGGGACTGTTCGTTCTTTTTTGGATCCCGCTCCTAAACATAAGGGATAGGGGAAAGGTGACCGGGCCTATCATTTCAAAAGGGTTGTCGAAAGAGAACCCGACTACCTATTTCATTCAACGTTCCGGGGCGGGGACCCGCCCGATTCGACCGACTTTTGGATAATAAGAAGGCAAGCTGATCTGCTTTGATCTAGGAAAAAGCCAAGTAAGCCACCAACTCGATGCAGGTCACGTGACCTACAACTTGACCTTTGCTTTTTGAGGCTTTTGAATCCCCTACTCATCTTCTTCTCCACCACCCCTTTTGGCTTTGACGCCGCAGGGGTAGTCTCCATGGCTGCCGCAAACGGAGCTGACTGATTACTCTTCGACTTCACCTTTTTTACCTCCAAATCACCATTCGCCATACTTTGTACATACAACTTCACCTTCTCCAACATAGTCGGTTTCCCCTTGGCTAACATAGCCTCTCATTTTCTTCCCAATCAACCTTTCATCCTTCATAGAAACCCTAACCTTAGAATCCTCATGAGCGTTTCTATCGAAAATATACAAAATCTTGAGAAACCTATCTACCTTCAACAGAAATTTACCTTTGGAATCTGAGCACTACATTGACCTCTTCGTCAACCAACCCTTCCAGCTGCCATTCTCGCCAAAATTGGCTCTTTCGCCCAATGTGGCGACTCTTCCGGCTTCAACATTGTCTTTATCCCTTTCTCTAGGTTTCCCCTTCTACATCTTGGGTTAGACATATTCTCGTCGAAGCCAAAGGCAACATCGCCGCTAAGCAACTATCCCTCTACAGTTTTCGATGGACAAGAAAGTGTTTCTCCACGCCTCCTCCAAATCAGGTTGTTGACATCTTCACAAAAAGTGTTTCTCGACCTCTCTTTAAATTTCTCAGATCCAAGCTTTCAGAATCATTCAAATCTGACGCTTAGCTTGTGGGGGGTGTTAAAGATATTTAATACTAAATTATAGTATACCATATATATATATATATATATATATATCATATTTGATGTTTTATTAAAGGCTTTTTTGAGTCAAACCGATTCTGATTCTTCTAATCTTTCATTATTTAGTTGATTTTTCTCAAAAACAAAACTTTGTGACTTTCTCGTTGAAATAGATTGTGATAGCGAAAAAGCTTTCAACGCTGCCTGACGCCCTTTGCTTTTCCAAATATTTTTCCGAATCCGTTTTTTTGATATAGAAGTGTGGTTTTTTGGAACTGCCATTAAAAAATTAGAATTGATTATTCGTTACTATAATTAGATGTGAAAGACGTCTAGTGTTCAAAGGAATTGTTCTTTACCATTTATTATCCATTTTTGCTATAAATTATATTATAGTATACTCCTAATATAGCTATCAAAATGAAAAATTATTCGTATCTAAATCTAACATAACAGCATCCGAGGGTGAAGAAAAAATATATATAGAGAGAGAAATTTAATTAATTTTTTTTTTTTTTATATTTTTGTTGAAAATACACCATTCATGTCAGTTAGACTATGCTCGTACCAATGCTACGTAGCAATAAATTAGTATTTTATATTTTAATTGATATATATATATATATACATGTGTATATATATATAACAGAAAAGCGTAAAATAGAAAAGCGTAAAATAACGACCTGTAAATTTGGCCTGAATCTGCGTGGTGTTGTTGGGAGAGGCCAAAAACAAGAAATTAATTTTGGATTTCGATTTCATTTCCAGGAGGGAATAAGTTTCGGTCAATTTTTCCCCCTTTAATCTGCAGCCGACCCTTTTTCCTGGTCGGCGTGCACGTCCATTTCCAACCTCGTTCCCTTCCTTCTCTTCCATTTTCTTTAATACCCTAAAACACAATGTGAATTTTTGAGTCCCCAATTGGTTGGATTGTTCAACCTTTTTGGTGGGCCTTTTCTTTGATCATTCTACATTTAATCTCTTTCTGGGTTTTGTTCTCACTTTGCATCTCTTTTTCCTTCGATTCATAGCTGGCTTCCCTTGCGATCAACGGGATTTCCTGCCTACGGGTACTTTTCCTTCTCTGAATCTGATTTTTGTTTTGTTTTGTTGCTGTTCTTGGTTTGGAATTTGGGTTCTGATCGTTGTGCTTTTTGTTCTGTTCTTATGTTCTTCTTTGTTGGGTTTGTGCTATGCTTGTCTTTTTCATGATTTTTCCCGTCTTTTCTCTTTTGATCTGCTGGGTTTTGCTTTGATCATTTGTTTTATGATGCTCTGGATGCGTTATGATCTCTAACGAGACTTTAGAAGAGCTTGGATTTCTGTATTTGTAGCTATTGATTGATGTTCTACAATAGATTTCATGTTTTTATGGTAACTTGATTGTGAGATCCCACGTTGGTTGAAGAGAGGAACAAAGTATTCCTTATTAAAGGTGTGGAAACCTCTGCCGGGTACACATGTTCGTTTTAAGACCTTGAGGGGAAGCTCGTGAGAGAAAGCCCAAAGAGGACAATATCTATTAGCGATAGGCTTGGGTTGTTACAAATGGTATTAGAGCCAAACACTAAACGGTGTGCTAGTGATGACGCTGGGCTCCCAAGGGGGGTGGGTTGTGAGATCCCACGTTGGTTGGAGAGAGGAACAAAGCATTCCTTATAAAGGTGTGAAAAACCTCTCCCTTGTAAACGCGTTTTAAAATCTTGAGGAAAGGGGAAGCCCAAAGAGGAGGACAATATTGGTTAGCGGTGGACTTGAGTTGTTACAAATGGTATCAGAGCCAGACACTGAACGGTGTGCCGGCGATGATGCTGGGCTCCCAAGGAAGGTGGGTTGTGAGATCCCACGTTAGTTGGAGAGAAGAACAAAGCATTTCTTATAAAGGTGTAGAAATCTCTCCCTAGTAGATGCGTTTTAAAACCTTAAGGAAAAATCTGGAAGGGAAAGCCGAAAGAAGACAATATCTGCTAGTGGTGGGTTTAGTTTGTTTCATCGACTGTGTAGGCTTTTGAATTTATGGATTGAGTTGACTCCATTGATAGATCTCTTCCTCAATTTAATGGTTTTTCCCTTTCCCTTTTGTTACCAAAAATCTTGATATTGGGTGTTCTTCAATTCTTTTGAACTTACATGATCTGCCTCTGATTCAATTTGTTCTTCTCATGGTTTGTTCAAGAATTCTTTTCTATCATCAAAGCCAAACTGTTTGTGTTTGAATCTTTTTGATCTTCCTAAACCTGGTTGTTGTTTAGGCGGTCTGAATCCGAGGAGACGGGTTGTTTTCTTCATAAACTTGCTGTTTCTTTTTCTACACTTAGTATTAATCAGTGTCGTAACTTCTGTCTCTCCACAGTTGATGATTTGTTGAGTTACCTTTTCGACTGCTTTGGAGGGGTGAAGTTTATGCACACGAGACGGTTAATTCATCCCGTGAACTTAGTTTTGTTGGGACGTTGGCTGTAATGGGAACGTCATCTCCTAAAGCGTGTGCTCAAAAAAGTCCTGTTACGTCTTTGTTGTATGCTGTTTCTGAATGGATGCTGATATTTATGCTGTTTGTGGATTCGATATTCTCATTCTTCATCACAAAATTTGCTCGCCTTTGGAAATTGTGCACCCCGTGCCTGCTATGTTCGAGACTCGATCATGTTTTTGGCTCGGAGAAGAAGGGGTACCTTTGGAAATTGATTTGTGGCAAACATAAGCTGGAGATTTCATCTTTGGTGCTTTGTCATGCTCACAACAAACTTGTTAATGTTAATGAAATGTGTAATAGCTGCCTCTGTTCATTTGCAACAATCAGTAAGTCAAATTCTGAGACTTATAGATTATTGGTTGGTAAACTGAGGGAGGATCCTCATCCTGCCAGCCAAAGACTTTGCTCGTGTTGTAAGGTGCCGTATGTTCCAAGAGGGTTCGTTCAAACGTTAATTCAGACCAGATCGAGCGGATTGGAGACGGAGGATCTCAATGTTCCCTTGTCGAGTTCTGTTTCTCGAAATCCATTACCTCATGTTCAATGCAGAGAGCTAAAGATCACTTCAGACACAGAATCTGATGGAATTGGATGCACTTCTAAGGACGATGCCAATCAAGGTGTTCGTATGGAGGCTAACTTCATTTCGGTGGCCAGTGATTTAACCACGACAAAGCTAGTGGAGCCAGCTTTGACGCCTGAACCATTGGTCTTGTTAACCGATACACTGCCTCCTGTAGAATGCGATGTCTTGATCGGGCATGGTTTGGATGAATTGACTCCAAAGCACGTCGAAAATAATGCGGTTTTCTCTTCATCAACTGGTCTCCTTGCCCTTGATAACGTGGTTCCTTCTTCAAACACAATAGCAACCTCTGTTAAAGCTTTAGAAGAAAGCTGTGAGTTATTTTCTCCACTCATTTCTAGTTCTAGGACACCACACAAAATGATAAGAAAAAAACTCGAGCTTTGTTGTTGTTGTCGTCGTCGTCGTCTTCCGTTTCCTAAGGGTAAATGCTATTCGACATATATTATGCAGTAGGAATACGAGAATAGGCTGCGACCTCTCGGTCTTGTCAATGCAACCAGATGAAACTCTTTGTGATTATCACTGATGTATGTTCTTATAAACATTGTAGATGTTACTAGAGGCGAAGAATACGAGACGAAATGCAAGGAAACCGAGAAGACAGGTATTTTGGCGAAAAAAGTGACATCTGAAGCACCTTCAGAAGCGCAATCCGTTTCGAGTGAGGCTGTTCAGATGGCACCAAATGTATTGGAGCTCGGTGATGCTTATAAGCTAGCTTTAGGCGCTCGAGGATTAAGACAAATGTCGGGCAGGCTTTCGCAACAATGGATCGGGAAGGAATCTTCAAAAGAGACTGAAGATCTGAAGCTTCTCTTGACACAACTCTCATTTAATCGAATGAATGACCAATCACGGGATATGAGTCCGAGGATGTCTGTATATGGTGATGAGCCGAGGAGCTTAGATGTCTCGAGCGCCGCTGGGATTCAGATACTACAGAGAAGGTTTTCACTTGAAAGAAACGAGTTCAGTTTAGAATCTCTAGATGCATTCAATGTCGGTGAGATCAGTGAAATCGAAGGCGAAAACATGGTTGAACAGTTGAAACGAAAAATCGAGTACGATAAGAAGCTTATGAATTCGTTATACAAGGAATTGGAGGAAGAAAGAAGTGCATCTGCTATTGCTGCAAATCAAGCAATGGCCATGATTACAAGGTTGCAAGAGGAGAAGGCAAGTCTTCACATGGAAGCATTGCAGTGTATAAGGATGATGGAAGAACAAAGTGAATATGATGATGATGCCCTGCAGAAAGCAAATGATCTCATTACAGAGAAGGACAAAAAGATGCAAGATTTCGAAGCCGAACTCGAGTTTTATCGGATGAACTTCCCGAACGCATATACAATAGATAATCTAGTGGAGACGTCTGATGTGAAGGAAAGAGATATCGGGGTCGTTCATTTAGAGTCGAACCAGATTGGAACAACCGGTTACGACAATTCCGTTGCAGGTAAACCCAATATCCACGAGAAAGTTGGAAACGAAGGCAGCACGAACAACAAGTTTTTGTTGGAGTTCGAGGACGAAAAGCTTGGCATCATGCAATGTCTTGAGAAGCTGGAGAATAAGCTTCATTTGTTTTCAAACAATGGGGTCAAGATAGATCTTTTCAGCAATGAGCCAAAACATGTGGACGATCATCTTCCCTCGCTTGCTCGTCCTACGTTCGATAAAGAAAGCGGTGAACTTGATTGTGTCGATAGGAACTCTGTGCTGGCCATGGGAATGGCGGATTTCACCTCTCTAAGAAGTGAGATGGCTAATCTTAACAAAAGAATGGAAATGCTTGAAGCTGACAAGAATTTCCTTGAGCATACAATCAATTCACTCCGGAAAGGAGAAGACGGGCTTCGGTTTGTTCAAGAGATCGCTTCCCATTTACGAGAACTACGAAAAGTCGGGATAAGAAGTTGAAAGGACGTCCTGGTGATAGATACGCTTCAAAGAAACCATTCAAAACTGTGAGTTTCTTGACTCGAAGTCTGCTTACAAAGCTCGTTCTTTCATTCTGCTATACCATTTTTATATTCACGAACTCGGTTTTCTACCAGTTATGTACAGGGGAGAAAGGCGACACGAACCGATCAAGATTTCGGGCAACTGTACAGTAGCTTGGAGCTTGGAGCTTGTTTTCACCAAAGGTACGAAGAATTTACAAAGGATTTTTAACTCTTTTGGTGTAGAAACTGTCACTTTTAGGATATTTGAACTCTTACCTCCCTACTAATAATTTGAAGTCAAGACTTATTTATTATGAGTTTGTTCTTCCATTTATGGAGTGGATTGAGTGAATTTAATGTAAAAAAGGAGATGGTCTTGTGTGAATGTTGTAACAATTATTTTCATCATTGTATTGGATGATGATCTATATATATCATTAATGAAAAGCGGTTTTGGCTGCAATCTCGGGATTGTTCTTACGAACCATTAGATATAGATTCGAAAAGACTTTTCATTTCTCTTTGTTCGTAGTTTTGGTTGCAATGTCGGGATTGTCCTTATTAACCATTAGATATAGTGTAACAGTCTAAAGCAGATAATGTTCTCTTTGGGTTTTTTCTTTCGGGTGTCTCCTCAAGGTTTTAAAAATGTGTCTGCTAGGGAGAGGTTTCCAAACTTTTATAAAGAATGTTTCGTTCTCCTCCAACTGATGTGAGATTTCATAATCCGCCCCCCTTAGGGACCCAACATCCTCGCTGCACACCCTCTCGTGACCACCCCCTTCGGGGCTCAGCCTCCTTGCTGACAAATCATCCGGTGTCTAGCTCTGATATGATTTGTAATGGATCAAGCCCACCTCTAGCAGATATTGTCCTCTTTGGGCTTTCCCTTTCGGGCTTCCCATCAATGTTTCTAAAACGTCTCTGCTAGGGAGAGGTTTCCACACTTATAAAGAATGTTTCGTTCTTCTCCTCAACCAATGTGAGATCTCACAATCCGCCCCTTTTAGGGACCTAGTGTCTTCGCTGGCACACCCCCTCGGGGCTCAGCCTCCTTAATGGCACATCACCTGGTGTCTGGCTCTGATACCATTTATATGTCCTCTTTTGGATTTTCTCTCAAAGTTTTTAAAATGTGTTTGCTAGGGAGAGGTTTTCACACCTTTAAAAAGAATGTTTCATTCTCCTCCCCAACTGATGTGGGATCTCACGTATAGATTCATAAAAGCTTTCATTTCTCTCTATTCATGGTTTTGGCTATAGTATCAAGATCGTCCCTAATAACCATTAGATGATTCGAATAATTTTAAGATCGAATACTTGTAATAAAACCAACTAATGGTGTTGAGATCCATTTACAAATTACGTTTGAGAGAATTCCTTATTTCATGCTAACCGTATTCCCTTATTTCATGCTAATCGTATTCATCCGTGGGAATCAAACAAATCAGATGAAGTTAGCATCAAATAAATTCGGTTTGTTATCGTTTCAGTATATAGACATTTGAATGAAGAAGTACATAATTAATCGTGTTTAACTTAGAACAATTCTACTTCATAAATGAGTATGAATTTACTCGGAAGAACCACGTTCAAAGGAAATCTCGAATTTTCACTTTAAAGTTGCTTTGATTTTGATATACATAGTTGTTGAATGTTTTATTATTTAGACGAAGAAGCTAGGCGGTTCAAAAAGGTACAATAAAAAGTTGCTAATCAAACCTAACAACCCACTAGCTTTTCCACCTTTGATCATCACCCTTTTCATATCTATATTTTATTTATATATGTTGTTCAACCTTTAATGTGTATGTATAGGTATATACGTAGGCGTATAAATATCCGTAAACTTTGTATTTTGTTTGGCTCACAAGTTAAAACTTTCTTGGTCGGACCTGACCTACTCAATTATAGGTTTCCAACCCAACTCTACTTTTAAAATTTGTACGAAGGTTAAGAATGTTTGACGTTTCTAACAAATATTAGTAATGTATTGTAACTTATAAATGTTCGATATTAAATTTTATGAGATTTTAGTTAATAGTGTGACACATATTGCAACTAAGTAGATTGTTTTTTCAATAATTAGAAAATGAATAACTCGAAAATCCAACCAACTCAACCCGAAAATAGAAGGCTGAGTTGAGTTGTGAACCCTGTCCGGGAAATTCGAGTCAAAGTAGATTGTTTTTTCAATAATTAAAAGATAAATAACTCGACAATCCAACCCAACTCATCCCGAAAATAAAGGGTTGAGTTGAGTTGTGAACCCTGTGTTATGATCGCTCAATAACGCACACACTCGATCAAGATGAACACAAATAACATGAGAGAGAAAATTCAAGGAGGAATATTGACTAAAGGTTTTATTGATACCCTCATGTATGTATTAGGAAGAAAATAGGTTTGGGACCGGTATATATATGGTTTCAGCTTACTAAATATAGATACCAAATATTTACCACAGATCTACCATATATTTTCGAAATATTTATCAAACATATTTGTACCAGATCTTTACTGTAAATAGGCATAGACTTCATATCCCAACAATCTCGATCGAGTCAACCAATCATTTCATTCTCAATGTTCCAACATCAACACAACATGTTTGATTGATTCTTTGTACCCTCTATCTCCTCCAAACACATCACCGTCTCTCACTAACCTCCAAGTGAAATGGTTTCGCCTTCTGTGTTTTGTCTTTGAATGATAGATCGGGTTTCTCACCAACTGCATAACACTCTAACTATCTACCTGAAAAATCTTCTCGCGCTGCTTCTTGCCTAATTCTTCTAGATAGTATGTCATTCATATCATCTCATTTCCAGCTTCAGCTATTGCCACGTACTCGGCCTCAAGAAATGAAAGAGCAACGCATTTTTGAAGCCTGGACATCCCATCATTCATGACTTTCTCCCACTTAATTGTATCCTCCAACTTTAGGGCCTCATCAAGGGGCTCTCTTTCCCCTTCATCAGACACCAACCGATAAAGAAGGTATACTTATCTGATACTCTAATAGATCTAGATGATATTTTCAACACCTGCTTAGTGTCACTTGCTCCGCTTCTGGTTCCTTAACAATAGTATCAGGAGTTTCTTGAGTATCCACTCTAAAATCACTAGATGAATCTTTCAGCAACTCAACCTCAACTCCCACTTGCTTCATTGTACCGAAACTTTTCTTCAATTCTCTAACAGTCTTTGTGAAGTTAACTCATTTCAGCTTGCTCATAGTGCAGTTCTCACAAGAACTCATATCAACAGATTTTAGACCTTTCAAAACTCCTTCATAGCCAGCATCTTTATTCCTTTAACGCTCATATGTCCAAGTCTATTGTGCCATAGACTTGAATTGGAAACACTCTTAGCAACAGCAGTCATGTTCATACACCCTGCTATAAAGTTCCAGATTTTGTGCCACATGCTACCACCATAGCACCCTTCACAATCTTTCACGAACTTTTCCCAAACTCTGTTGCATAAAGTGTGTTATCCAATTGACCAATAGAGATCAAGTTCTTCTTGAGACCGGAAATATATCTAACATCCTTTAATGTCTACTGATTTCCTGCCGGAGTTTTTATGCAAACATCCCGTTTTCCTTCAATCTCCAAATCTTTGTTGTCAACAAAATACACCTTCACGAAACTTCTAGACTTGAAATTTCGAAACAACTCTTTGTTTGGAGATGAATGGTTGTTTGGAGATGAATGAAGCGATGCACCTGAATCTAAAATTCAGGATTCAATCGGATTGTCTATACTAAGGATTAGAGCATCCCAATGTCTTCTACTAAATGTATAGAATCATCGTCATCTTCTGATTTGTGATTATGCTTCCTCTTTGTACAATCTGCCCGAAAGTGACATTTTACTCTACAACTCCAACACTTTACGTTTGATTTGTTTGGAGATTTTTCCCGGTTCTTTGATTTTGATCGCCTATTATTTGGGCCCTTTGATTTACTTATTCCCCTTCGATGAACACTGAGAGATTGACCTGATGAATCTCCGATTTTCTGTTTGGGAATACTTTCGCTGAGAACTACATCTCGAATTTCATCGAACTTCAATTTATCAGATCCTAGTGAATTGCTGGTTGCAGCAACAACAGTATCCCACGACTTGGATAAAAATGACATCAAAATCAATGTTTTAATTTCATCATCGAAATTAATTTCCACCGAACTCAGTTGACTTACAATCATATTGAACTCATTTATATGATCAGCAATAGACCCACCTTCAAACATTTGTAAATTGAACAACCTCCACATCAAATACACCTTATTCATAGCCAACAGTTTTTCGTACATATTCGACATTGCCTTCAACAAATCTGACGTTATCTTCTCCTTGATGATGTTAAATGCCACATTTCTGGACAGCGTCAATAGGATCAACCCTAAGACCTGACGATCCTTGAGCTTCCAATACTCCGTGGTCATAGTATCCGGCTTCACCCCCAACAGGGGTTTGTGAAGACCTTTCTGGTACAGACAATCTTCAACTTGATATTCAAAAAACTAAAATCGAATCCATCAAACTTTTCAATTTTCATCTTCACCATTGTACCATTGTCAGATGTTTACGAAATATCTACCATTGTACCAGTAAATAGGCATTAGGCTTCATATCCCAACACTCTGTTCGGGTAATTTGAGTCACAAGCTCAACAACTCGATACTTTTCAACCGAACCCGTGCACACCAAGAAAGTTGACCCATTAAAACAATCGTTTGATTAACTATGCATTATCTCATAAAAATCCAAATTAAAATTCACATATCATATTTTTTAGTGCCGTTGAATTTTTCATCGTTTTCGTTATTCAACTTTCAAACCCAACTACCCGCGGATTGTATCAGTCAACTCCGACCAAAACCCATTTCATTTTTAATTTCCTTTTTCCTTATAAATATTTTGTTCCTCTCACTCCAAATTCATTGCCTAAACCCATTTCAATTCTATGCATTTTTCTGTTATGAAGACGGCGGCAGCGGCGTTTGTTTTCATTTTTCTCTGTATTTTCCACGTATCGGCGGCCAGGGTCTTGACCGGAGAGCGGTGGCGACCAGTGTCGGACAGGATGCTACGAGGTTCGGTGCCTCCTTCCGATAGGAATCCCTGTTCGTTTATTCCCGGGCTTGGCCGTGGACGCTGTACGTTGAGCGAGGTGGAAGACGAAGCCGGCGGCGGCGGCGGTTCCTCTGCCTTTCCCGGCATGAACTTTGATGGGTTTGCGGCGGCTTCCATGGTTAACGGAACCCAGAAGCAAGATCCTTCTTTGAGGCCTTGAATCTCATGGGGGAATGGAATTTGAAGCTTATGTATAGTTCTTCTTCATACAAAGTTCTTATTGTTCTTATTTTATTTTGTTAATTATTTGTTTTTTTGTTCCATAGTTTGAGGCTCATGATGTGATTGGATTAGCCAAATTTTGACCATTGTTTGTTCCTTGAATCCCAAGGAATTTAAAAAATAAAAAAAAAATGCTTTTTTTTTTTTTTTTTGTGAATTTTTATCTCGAGAGGATTGTTGTAACGAGTTTGATATACATAGTTTGTGTGACTTCAGTATTTCAATGCATCTCTTGCAACATGACCATATTACTTACTTATTGGTGGGTGTGTGGGGGGTGCGTGCCGGAGATGAGCGGGGGGAGCGCACACGGGAGGTGTGCGGGGGCGAGCACACACGAGAGTGGGATCTGGGGGTGTGTTTAACTATTTCTAAGTGTAAAATTATCTCCATATATAGGCACCCGAGTTATTTTTAGCATTGTCTCACTTGCATGTTTTTTAAAAAAATTTTGAAGTCATGGGACTAAATGATTAAGCTCCAAACAGAACAATATGCCTAAAAGGGAAAACCTAAAATAGAACAATATCCACTAGCGGTGAGATTAGGTTGTTACAAAGGATATCAAAGCCAGACACTAGGTGATGTGCCAGTGAGAAAGTTGAACCCCAAAGGGGGTGGACATAAGGCAGTGTTGGGCTTCAAAGGGAGTGGATTGTAAGATCCCACATTGATTTTGGAGGAGAAAGAGTATTTTTTATAAGGGTGTAGAAATCTTTCTATCATACGCGATTTAAAAACATTGAAAGAAAATCGGATGAGATTGAGTTTGTTACATAATTAGACTAATTCATTCATATAGATGACAACTTCATTTCTTTCTGATTTTAAATTGCTTCATAAAATTGTTCCTCGAGATAGTCTCGATTAGAATCACTCTCATTCAAATATGATATCAATTCGTTCGTTCATCCACTTCTCATACGCACAAAAGAAAGAGAAGAAAATTTACATAATACACTACAAACAAATACCTTAACTTGGAAAAAGAACACCAAAGATCAAATCCTCACACCATTGTTTACTCATAAGATAAAGCAAGTGCTTCTTCAGTAAGAAGGTTTCTTCTCTTCTTTTGTCATCCTAATTTCTATCGACTTTATTCTCATACTTTCAGTTACCATCATCAGCTGATTTCAAGTAGAGAGTCTCACCTCCATCTCCGCCATGGCTCCCGGAGCTCCCTCCACGTCCCTCGCCTGACCCGGTTCCTCCCATATCTTGCTTGCTCCCACCAGCTAGGCTGCGGTGCAAGCTATCAGCTGCAGCATTGTGGCTGAAATCTGGGAATCCTCCTCCTCCAAGTGCTCCTCCGTTGCCTCCGGCATTGGCGGCATCGTTTTGCAGCATGTTGAATCCTATGCCACCTCCGGAGCTCATCCCGAGTTGGCTGTGTAAAGCTTGCTGCTGTAGGCTAGAAAATGGCTGTTGGGTGTACAACATGGAGGACCGAGCAGCCATCAGTGATTGTGGTGTCATTTGCTGAGCTTGTTGGTGTTGAATGTAATGTCCTCCTGGTTGGATTAGGCCACTAGAAGAGTACTGGAGAGAACATGGCAAAACCAAAACATGTTGGATTCATCTCAATTCAATTTACTTTTTGACATATACGAACATCCCAAGCCCGCTTTGGCCCATTCCGTACTATCGCCAGCCTCATGGCTTTAAAACGCGTATGCTAGAGAGAGGTTTCCACACCCTTAGAATGAATGTTTCGTTCCCCTCTCGAGTCAATGTAGGATCTCGCAAATCCACCCTCCTTAGGGGCCCAACGTCCTTGCTGACATACCACCCTGTGTGTCTGGCTCTAATACCATTTGGAACAGCTCAAACTCAACACTCGCAGATATTGTCCACTTTGGGCTTTCCCTTATGAGATTCCCCTCAAGGCTTTAAAACGCGTTTGTCAAGAAAAAGTTCATTAGGAATGCTTCATTTGTTCCTCTCTCCAACCGATGTGGAATCTCACAATCCACCCCCATTGGAGGCCTAACATCCTCGCTGACACACCGCCTTGTGTCTGGCTCTAATACCATTTGGAACAGCTCAAACCCACCGCTAGCAGATATTGTCCTCTTTGGGCTTCCCTTCTAAGCTTCCCCTCAAGGCTTTAAAACGCATTTGATAAGGAAAAGTTCATAAGCAATGCTTCGTTTGTTCTTCTCTCCAACCGAAATGGGATCTCACAATCCACCCCCATTGGGGGCCAACGTAATCACTGGCACACCATCCGGTGTCTAGCTCTCACACCATTTGGAACAGCTCAAGCCCACCATTAGCAGATATTGTCTATTTTAGCCCGTTACGTATAGCCGTCAGCTAGACACGTTCTAAAATCGTGAGGTTGACGGAAATACATAACGCGCCAAAGCGGACAATATTACATATTACATTCTAAAGTCCAAGATTCAAGCTGCTAAATTTGTAACCGACTTAAAGTTAGACAAAACCTCCCCAAATGATCATCAGCCAAACAAAACACGGCTAACTATGTTCATACCTGGGCATGCATGGCAGAAGGTTGAGGTTGAGAATCAGCAATGGCAGCCAGGTACATGAGGTTCCTCTGTAGCCTTGCTTGATTCCTGCACAGGAAAAGATATCAGAATTACTTTTGTTCTTCAACACCTTCGTTTTCAGCCTCAAAACATTGTTTAAGCAATATTTAAGCAATATTAGGGTTAGTTTTGACTCTCGATCAACTTTTCAATACATGATTGTCATATATGTATGAGATTCCATATTAGTTAGAAAAGAGAACGAAGCATTTCGTATAAGGGTATAAAAATTTCTCCCTAGCAGACACATTCTAAAACATTGAGAAGAAGCCCAAAAGCCCAGAAGGGAAAGTCCAAAGAGGACAATATCGGCTACCGGTGGGTTTGAGCTGTTACAAATGGTATCAGAACCAAACACTAGGCGGTGTGCCATCTAGGATGCTGGGCCCCCAAAGGGAGTGGATTGTGAGATGTCACATTGTAGAGGGAAACTAAACATTTCTTATAAGCGTGTGGGAACCTCTCACTAGCAAACGTGTTTTAAAATCTTGGAAGCACTAAAGAAAAAGTCCAAAGAGAACAATATCTACTAGCAGTGAGTTTGGGCAACAAATGGTATCATAGCCAGATTCTGAACGGTGTGCATAGCCAGACACTAGGTGGTGTGCAAGCGAGGACGCTAAGCCTCCAAGGGAAGAAATCCACATCGGTTGGAGAGGAGAACGAAACATTTCTTATAAGAGTGTGGAAACCTCTCCCTATAGACACGTTTTAAAACATCGAGGGAAAGCTTAGAACGGAAAACCTAAAGAGAACAATATCTGCTAGTTGTGGGCTTGAGCTATTGCAAATATATCAAAGCTAGACACCGAGCGGTATGTCAACGAGGACGCTGGGCTCCTGGAGCGTGGATTGTGAGATCCCACATCGGAACGAAGCATTCCTTATAAGGGTGAGAAAACCTCTTCCAAGCAGATGCGTTTTAAAACCTTGGGGGAAGCCAGAAGGGAAAGCTTGATATACTTACCCTGTTTCTTCATCATACGAACCAAATTGATGAAACCGAAAAAGAAAATTCACATTTATCACCATGATTCTACCATAATATACTTACTCTGCACATTCATTCAATTTTCCCGAGTTTTGGCTCTCAACAATCTTCAATATCAGCGACTTGTTCTCGTCCAGATACTGCAACATAGATGATCAAATAAGACATCATAAACCTTAAAAAACATGAGCTGAAACACAGACAGAACCAGACGGCAACCTATAATACTGTTTCATGGTTGACCAATCACTATTCAAGCTCTTCTGTCTTCCATTATAAACACTTTTTACTGATGTAGACTGTTTTAACATTATCCTCATTATAGTTCATCACAAAACTGTTAAAAAATACCAAAAAATCACTTGAATCTTGGTCAATTCCAGTGAGATTATATGAATTCCGGCCAAAATTCATGAATAATTTTCTTAAGAAACCTCATCAAAGAAGTTTATAAACTAAAAGAATAATGTAACGGCCAAAACGTTTTTTTTTCCACCCCTCCTCCCCAACCGAGGTGGGATCTTACAATCCCACCCCCCTTCAGAGTCCAACGTCCTCGCTGGCACTCATTTCTTTCTCCAATCGATGTGGGACCCCCACCAAATCCACCCCCATTCGGGGCCAGCGTCCTTACTAACACACCGCCTCGTGTCTAACCCCTTTCGGGGAACAGCCTCCTTGCTGGCACATCGCCCCGTGTCTAACTCTGATACCATTTGTAACGGCCCAAGCCCACGACTAGCAAATATTGTCCTCTTTGGGTTTTTTCTTTTGAACTTTCCTCATGGATTTTAATACGTGTTTGCTTGGGAGAGGTTTTCATACCCTTATAAAGAGTCTTTGGTTCTCCTCCCCAACCGATGTGGAATCTCACAAACAATTTGAATCAAGATTTCTAGTAATTAATGAAGCTGATATCACATTCATAGTCCCAAAGAAAAGCTATTATTTTCTTTCTAAAGAATCCCTTTTTCCAAAAACATAAATCTTAGTTAAGAACTTCTATATGGTACATTCATTTACAACAAGTTTAGACGAACATGAAAGAACATAAAATCCAAAACCTTAAATTAACCTTATAGTCCTCAAAAGCTCAAGCTCTCAACAGTTTCATGAGCCACTTTTTGGTCCACTTGATGAACAGAGAGAGAGAAGAAAAGGGGAAAAAATGCACCATCCAACCAGTTCTGATTCCTTTTCCCATTAAGATTAAGGCCAAAAGGGTTCAGAAATCAATCATGGAATTGAAAGACAAAAAGTAATTAAGCTTTGACCAATAAGGAAACAAATACTTAATCAGGAAAAGAGATGGAAATAAACAAGAGAAAAGCCATTGATGGACTGGTCTCACCTTTTGGTATTAGATATTAAAATCAGTCAATAGAGACAAGAGCACGTGAAATAGGCAACACAATTAAACCCAATAGGATAAAGGAAGCAAGACATTCTTATGAATCATCTTTAACATGAAGAACAAGGAAAACCCACATAAAAGAGATTAAAAACAATGAAAAACAAGTTATGAATCATCTCTAACATGAAGAACAAGGAAAACCCACATGAAAGAGATCAAAACAATGGAAGAAGAAGAAGAAGAACCTGTTATGAATCATTTCTAACATGAAAAACAAGGAAAACCCACATGAAAGAGATCATAAAAAATGGAGGAAGAAGAAGAAGAACATACTATGAATCATCTCTAACATAAAAAACAAGGAAAACCCACATGAAAGAAATCAAAACATTGGAAGAAGAAGAAGAAGAACCTGTTATGAATCATCTCAAACATGAAAAACAAGGAAAACCCACATGAAAGAGATTAAAAAACATGAAGAACAAGGAAAACCCAGATGGAAAAAGTGAAAAAAAAAAGGAAGAAAAAGAAGAAGAACCTGTTGAATATGATCAGTAGTGACGTTGTTGGGATAATAAGCTGCCATCATGGGCTGCATCTGCATCAGGTGCTGTTGCATTAGAGAGAAATGAATGATGGGTTTTCAAAGAAACGGCTGATTTTCTTCTCTTCTTCTTTGGGGTTTTGAAACAGAGAGGGAAGGGAGAGGGGGTTTGGACGGTGATAGTGACAGAGGAAGGTAGCAGAGCTTCTGCAAATTACACAAACAGAAAATGCATTATGAGGGAGGTAGCAGAGCTGAGAGAAAAGGGGCTTTGGGGCAGCCGTTTTGGCTTTGTTTGTGGCCAAAGATGCCACTTTTTTCCCTCACAGAGCAAGGGAAAGGTGTCACGTGAGCGATAATGAAAGCGAAAATCAAAAGTTTGTTTGAATGTGTATGCAAATTTTAACTTTATTGACGCAACCAGATGGGCTAAGGGGTTGCTGCTGTTCCCAACAGAGAAGCTTCTTGTAACATTTGTAACATTTTTCCTCTGTGATGTTCTTTCTTGCTCAACTCATTCTCAGCGGATATTATTTTTTTGGATTTTTCTTTTTGGACTTTCTTTCGAAGCCTTAAAAAATGCATCTGCTAGATAAGGGGTGTTTCGTTCTTCTCCCCAATAAGAAGCGTGTCTGGATTCATCTTCTAGCCGACACTTAAAATTCATACTCCCAATATGGAATGATTCTAGTTCATGTAAACCTCTAGTGATTACACTTAAAATGGTTTATAGATCTGATTGTTGAGAGTTTGGTTGTATGTTTCTGAAATTCTAAAGGCTCCTAACATTAGTTATGACTTTGTCGAAGTGATTACCAATTCATTCCCAAAACATGACCGGAGGATTCCTCATACAACAAAAATATTATGCATAGGTGTTTGTTTGACCAGTAAGATAGTCTCGAACCAAAGAGAAAATTCATGTTTGAATAGAGAATGAGAAGAGAGCAGGAAGAGATTTTTGTTGAGGATTGTTGGGAAATGAGTCCGACTAATTAAGAGGTTGATCATGGGTTTATAAGTAAGGAATGCACATCTCTATCGGTACGAGGCCTTTTGGGGAAACAAAAAATAAAGTCATGAGAACTTATGCTTAAAGTGGACAATATCATTCCATTGTGGAGAGTTGCGAACTATTCTATGCCCTGCTCAACCAGATCTCCATGACATCTCGTGGGGAATCCCTATCCCGATTCCCAAACTGATTTACTTGGAGCAATCCTTTGTTTAGTGACCTCTTGAGAATTTTCATTCTCCGTGACATCCCATGGGGAATCCCTATCCCGATTCACACTGATTTACTTGGAGCAATCTTATGTTTGGTAACCTCTTGAGAATTTTCATAAGATAAATGAGAACAAAACATGTTGGAAATGATGTCCTATTTAAGGTTTAAGGATCTATTAGACACATTAATCAAAGTTTTAAAAACGATGATGGTCGGGTATGAAATGGGAGAGGGGTGTCGGGACCCGAGAGGAAGATAGTCACATGGGCGTGGTTGATGGTGTTGTCCAGTCCATTTCCTTCTGTCCACCATTGGTCCCTCTCACAAAAACCTCTCTTAAAACTTATCCTCAAAGTTCAAACAAACCCACACATTCCCCAATACCCTTTTTCTTGTGTGTTTTGTGGGTGTGGGTCACCAATCCCAAACTCTTACCTTTTGTCTCTCTAACCCTAGCTATCATACCCTTTTTCTTTCCTTTTCCGACGTCTTCGACCGGTTATATTTCACCCGAGCGGATGTAGTTGCATTCTCGAACTTTCAGTTGACTAGTTATACCATTAAACCTTAGCTATTACACCCTTTTTCCTCCTTTTCCGATATTTTGAATTGGAGATATTTTACTCGAGCCGTTATTGTCTCATTCTCAAACTCTATGTTGAGTAATTATAATCTTAAACCCTAGCTATTACACTTTTTTCCTTCCTTTACCGATCTCTTAAATCGGAGATATTTCACCCGAGCCGTTACAGTCACATTCTCAAACTCTAAGTTGAGTAACTATAACATTAAACCCTAGTCATTACACCATTTTTCCTCCTCTCCCGATCTCTTGGATTGGAGATATTGCACTCGAACCGTTCCAGTTGCATTCTCAAACTCTAAGTTGATAAATTATATCACTAAACCCTAGCTATTACACTCTTTTCTCTCCTTTTTCGGCCCCTGAATCAGAGATATTTCACCAATGCCGTTACAATCTCATTCTCAAACTCTAAGTTGAGTAATTAAACATTAACCCTAGCTATTACATTCTTTTCCCTCCTTTCACAGTGTGAATGTTTGATTAATCCACCACACCTAAATGGTGTGAAAGTTATCTTATTTATAATCAAATAAATTACAAGGATATGGAAATAGTAATAAATGGAAATAACAATAAATGGAAAGATACGTATGATAATAAGGCAAATATTAGATATTTGCCTTATAATAAAATATAAAATATAATATATATGGTAAACTATAATTTATTGCTAAATATCCTTAACACACAGTCTCTTGAATCAAAGATATTCCACTCGAGCCATTATAGTCTCATTCTCAAGCTGTAAGTTGAGTAATTACAACGTTAAGCCTTATCTATTACACTTCTCCCTCCTTTCCTAGTCTCTTGGATAAGAGATATTCCACCCGAGCCGTTACAGTCACATTTTCAAACTTTACATTAAATAACTATAATATTAAACCCTAGCTATTACACTCTTTTCCTTCCTTTACTGGTCTCTTAGATCGGAGATATTTCACCTGAGTCGTTACAGTCACATTCTCAAACTCTAAGTTGAGTAACTATAACATTAAACCCTAGTCATTACACCTTTTTTCCTCCTTTCCCGATCTATTGGGTTGGAGATATTGCACCCGAGCCGTTACAGTCGCATTCTCGAACTCAAAGTTGAGAAATTATATCATTAAACCCTAGCTATTACACTCTTTCTCTTCTTTTTTGGCCTCGTGAATCAGAGATATTTCACCCGTGCCGTTACAATCCCATTCTCAAACTCTAAGTTGAGTAATTATAACATTAACCCTAGCTATTACATTATTTTCCCTCCTGTCTCGGTCTCTTGGATTGAAGATATTCCACCCGAGCCATTACAATTTCATTCTCAAGCTGTAAGTTGAGTAATTACAATAAACCCTAGCTATTACACTCTTCTCCCTCCTTTCCCGGTCTCTTGGATCGAAGATATTCCACCCGAGCCATTACAGTCCCATTCTCAAGCTACAAGTTGAGTAATTACAACATTAAACCCTAGCTATTACACTCTTCTCCCTCCTTTCCCAGTCTCTTAGATCAGAAATATTCCACCCAAACTATTACAGTCACATTCTCGAACTTTGCATTAAATAACTATAACATTAAACTCTAGCTATTCTCGATGTGCTAAGTCGAGTAATATTTCAATCGAATATCTTTACTCTCGAAAAAAGTAGTTATTAAACGAAATTAGGTCGAAAAAAATGATGATAGCAAAGAAGAAAGGTTGAGAGGAAAAAGGGCAAAGTGGAGTCAAATCAATAAATGAAAGGGAAAAAGGTGATGCTCCCATGTGTGGGAACATGATGGGTGGTTAGGGTTTCTCTCTATTTTTTGATTTGTGTACTCAAAATTCCAATTTTGTCTTTCCTTTTTATCTACTCACGTGCCTCCAACATTAATGCATTTTCGATTCTAGGGTTTCCGATATTAGAACTCTCGGGATGATGATTCCGACTTACGATTTGTCGGGAAAGGTATCGATATTTAACGGATTGAGTTTAGTGCATATCGATTGTGTTTGATCATGTTGGTGTTCATTTGTTTAGTTACAAATTTGACTCATGTAGTGTTTGATAAAACAGCATAAACCATTTCTATAGTTTTGATAATATCTTTAAAAAACAGTCTTTGTCATAGGAACATACGGTATAAATTTGAAGGCTAAGCAATAAAGTTAAACGCTTCATGCCCAGAACTTTGAATCTAGATTCGATACTTGATGGTCTAAACACTCTCTTACATCTCCTACGATATAACTGTGTTACGTACTTGACGTACTAAGAGCCTATAGACTAACACGGGTTCTTTTAATGTGCTTTGTATTTTTTAGGAGGTCGCCCAATATAAAATTGCTCAAGCCTAACATGTTTTATGTAACAGCTCAAACCCACAACTAATAGATATTGTCCACTATAACCCATTGCATATCACCATGAGTCTCACGGTTTTAAAATGCGTCTACTAGAGAGAGGTTTTCACACCCTTATAACGAATGTTTCATTCTCATCTCCAACAGATATGAGATCTCACATTTTAACTTTAAAATTTTTTATGACTGAACCACTTAAAAAATACACCTTAACAGTATAGTATAGATAGAGACATTAATTTTTTTAAAGCATTTTTTTAACCGTTCTATTGCCAAGATCACTCATGAACGTGGTATCGGTCCATCCCGACATAAAATTATTTATATTAAAAATGATATTAAAAAAATTATTCCACGTACTAAGAAAAAGGACCAAGTTGATAAATGGAATATATATATATATATATATATTATAAAGTATGATGTGACAATATTTTTATAGCATATCTACATCGAGTTGGGGAAAAAGGACCAAGTTGGCTGGAATATGTCCTTTTATTAACTTAATTAATTAAACTTTTCTTTTTAGTCCTTCAATTTATTTTTACTTTTCACTCTACCCCTACTCCTAAAAATATTTTCCTTTTCCCCCCTATAAATAAAACTCATATCTCTCAACGATAATTTAATAAAATAAAATTTGTATATAGATTTATAAAGTTTAATTGATTGATTTAAAATATGATTAAAATATTGAGATTTCAAAATCAACCCATCTTGCTCGAGTAGGGTTCTTTCTTACAAGTTTACGCCTATCCCTAGTCGGGTTCTTTCTCCTCTGTAGCCGTTATCAAATTCACACAAGTGTGTCTGACTTGATAAGGAATCTATTCTCGCGACACAAGACATAACCCCTACACACATCTAAGAGCATGCTTCCTACATATTCATACAAGACCCGAGTAGACGAGTCGAGATTTGGCGAGGTACCCACTACTCGGAATACTCTCACAGAAGGAAAAAGATGTGTTTGTCAGATTTGGTTCTTCTTAGTTGGGTTGGACGGGTTCGACCAAAAATGTTATGCTTACACACAAGACTATCCTCTCGAGCTTTGAGCTTCATAAATGTCAAAATTTTATTTTATTTTTTAATTTAAATTTTTCTCTCATGGCATAACATTTATCCCCTCTTGTCACCGTCCTAAAATAAAGAAATAAGATAATTATTAGAACTATCATATCTGCCTTCGAGATCAAATAAGATAGAGTAGATAAAATTTCATAAATAGTTTTTATGCATTGATAAAACCCTCGTAATCCGCTTCTATAGAATTCTAGGGGATTATAGATTATAATTCAAATACCTAAAATTATAGGGTCTAAATTCTATATTTATTATTTATAAACTCTTTAAAAAAAAAAAAAAAAAAACATGAACTTGTCAGCCTTTCAATATTCTTTTTAAATTAAAGAATATTTTTCTGACAAGTTTTATGATGCTGAAACATTATTCAAAGATCAACGAGAGATTCTAATTTAGGAAATTAGCATAAAAATTATTAATTTTTAAAATTTAATATTTTAATGTAATCTACCGGACATGTTGTCATACTAGCTCGACCATAATAAACACATGGAATCAACCCATACGCTTATAGTCAATTCCCAAAAACCATGAACGATCATCATTTGACCAAAATCAAAACTCTATTCCCCTTTTGAAACCATAGAATAAACGTATAGACTCATCTCAAACGATGAACTTATCTAGGATGGGTATTGAGCGAGTGACCTTGTTTTAAAGGCAATGGTCTATGTGGGTATCAAAGTAGTTGGCTCACGATTATGAATATAGTACTATATAGAGATTCAGCTATGAAGTCGCGTCTAGTAAATAGCGGACATGAATTAACTATGTATGAACCAAAATATAACACTTACTATGCAAAGCTTAGACATGATTATGTTGTTATTCATGACATCAACCAACGGTTTTTTGCCTCCTATGTCACGGTTATGTGCCTATGTGTTATGATGATACAATGATGGTATTCTAGAGGGTTACCAATTACCTCTAGTAGCAACGTAGTCATTTAGGGTTAGTGCACATATATATTCTAGTTGGTATGGGCACATGGTCACTCCCCCACGTTTACTAGGTCAAAAATCTAGAGTGTTATTAATCTTTTTTAGTAGTGCTATAGTCATTTACCGCTAACCCACATACGTATCTTAGTAGGCAGGCACTATGTTATGATAGCTACTATGATGATACTCAAGACCTGTGAGATCCCACCTTAGTTAGAGACGGGAACAAAACATTTCTCATAAGAGTGTGTAAACCTCTCCCTAGTCGACACATTTTAAAACTATGAAGCTGACGACGATACACAATGAGCTAAAGTGAACAATATCTACTAGCGATGAGCTTGAGCTATTACAAGACATTTATCAGCTACCTCTAGCATTGATGAAGTCATTTATGACTAACCCACATTGATATCTTAGCTAGTTTGACAAAATTCAGCTAATTGCATACCTAGACCAGTTAAGCCTAGAAATATGTACGCTATGTTTCAAGATAAGTACAAATGTTCCGTCAAGGCCCATTAAGTGCAAAGTATCAAAAACCTATAATTTTTTTTTAATGTTTATCAATTATTTTTATACTCAATCATGTCAAAAGAAAGAATATCGCGAATATGACATGGAACAAGTCAGTGAAAGGTCGTGGTGAAATATATTTTACTTATGTTTTTTTAGATCAAATTCTAAAATTTATATGATCTCGAGCTTCCAATTTAGCGATTCTAGTTCTCTCTACACGTATTGGTCGTTAATAAATTATGTTTTACACACTTATAAAAGTCATTTTTAGCTCTTATATTGATCCAACTTTCTTCACACGTACCAGTCGTAACCATTACTTAAGAACAAGAATGCTTCGAAAATAAGTAAAACATGCTCGAAATACTTCGTCAAAAGACCTAAAATGTATGCATTTATAACCATTTCAGTTATCACTTGTTGGATGATGAAAGTCCCACATCGGTTAATTTAGGGAATGGTCATGGGTTTATAATCTAAGAATACACTCTCCATTGGAGTGAGGCCTTTTGGGAATCCCAAAGCAAAGCCATGAGAGCTTATGCTCAAAGTGGACAATATCATACCATTGTGGAGAGTCGTGTTCGTCTAACATGGTATCAGAGCTATGCCCTAAACTTAGTCGTGTCAATAGATTGGCAAATCCTTAAATGTCGAACAAAGGACTCCAAAAGGAGTCAAGCCTCCTCGAAGGTGTTGGATGATGAAAGTCCCACATCGGTTAATTTAGGGAATGGTCATGGGTTTATAATCTAAGAATACACTCTCCATTGGTATGAGGCCTTTTGGGAAGCCCAAAGCAAAGCCATGAGAGCTTATGCTCAAAGTGGACAATATCATACCATTGTGGAGAGTCGTGTTCGTATAACATGGTATCAGAGCCATGCCCTAAAAACTTAGCCGTGTCAATAGATTGGCAAATCCTTAAATGTCGAACAAAGGACTCCAAAAGGAGTCAAGCCTCCTCGAAGGTACGAAGGCAGTCAAAAATGACTAAGACTCCAAAGGAGTCGAGCCTCGATTAAGGGGAGGCGTGCTTTGTTCGAGGGGAGGTGTTGGATGATGAAAGTCCCACATCGGTTAATTTAGGGAATGGTCATGGGTTTATAATCTAAGAATACACTCTCCATTGGAGTGAGACCTTTTGGGAATCCCAAAGCAAAGCCATGAGAGCTTATCCTCAAAGTGGACAATATCATACCATTGTGGAGAGTCATTGTGGAGAGTCGGCCATGAGAGCTTATGCTCAAAGTGGACAATATCATACCATTGTGGAGAGTCGGCCATGAGAGCTTATGCTCAAAGTGGACAATATCATACCATTGTGGAGAGTCGTGTTCGTCTAACATCACTATCCTTATATTATCGAGTATCTACCTATGCCAATATCTTTCTAAGTGAATCGATGTAGTTTTATTATGACCCTACAATATGGTAATATACATATTCAAAATACCCATAAACTTTGTGCTTTTCAAAATTTTCAAAAAGTTTCAAAAATACCTTTAAAATTTATAAAGCTAAAAAAATACTCTTAGAGTTATTACCATATTTAAAAAAATATCTATATATTTTTTTTTTCATGAGTATTTTTTGAACGACATACTAACGGTTTCTTCCATATACTAACGTTAAAAGTATTTTTGAAATAAAGTATTAATGATTTTTATAAAAAAATTAACGATAAAAATATTCTTAAAAGTTAAAAAAATATTTTAAAATAAAGTACAAAATTTAGGAGTATTTTATACTGAGGGAAAGTTTAAAACTAAATTTTTATGGCCCAAACATATATATATATATATATATATATATATAGTACATCGCTCTCTCATGGAAGTTGGCCGCCTATCTTAGATCTTCCCATTTTCAAGAGAGAGTTCAATGCTAAGCTTGGGGATTTGGGTATGGCAGAAGTTTATGGACACTATTCGAGTTTGATGGTTATTTTCAGGTCTGTCATCCGTTTAGTTGCTCAATTCATAAAGGCAAAGAAAAAAGAGATTCGCCTTGCAAGAGGTTACCTAAAGAAAAAGGAAACTCACCACTCATGGGTGAAAGAGGAGAAAAGTTCATTGTCCGTCTCACAATTTCATTGCCTGATTAATTATTTTCTTTTCAACAGAAAGAGTCTGAGACTTCCTTGAGAGATATATATATATACCGGGAGTTCCACCCGAGGAATCAGGGGCCGCTGTAACTTGCACCTGGACAGAAAGACCATATGAAGCTTCACTGTTCCCTGGGATTGGCTTTCTTCCATTTAAACTAATTTCGATCATTCTTTTAGCTGCTTTGATCGGCGCAATTGTTGTGGCTCGCCAGTATTTTGCATAAATTGAAAATCCATTGGATTTTTTTTTGTAGAAATAACTTCACTGCATTTCTTGGTATCAAAACAGGTTAAGAACCCAGGTTCGGGTCCATAAGCAGTGACAATTGCCCCATGAAGACTCGCCCCAGCGGGAGGCCCGCACGACGGGCTATTAGCTCAGTGGTAGAGCGCGCCCCATATATATATAATTTTAATTCCAATCCTAAAGTAATAATATAATTTTCAAAATATATAAAAATTAATCTTAATTATAACATTTTACCTATTAACCTTTTATATTAGGCCATTAACATTTTTTTAAAATCTAACCCAAATTAAATATATATATAAATAATTAAGTAAATGCCCAAATAGGATTTAATATATATTTTTATATAATCTAAAATTACTCCAATTTTAGTCAAAAGTTGTAAAGATTAGATTGGACAAAACAAGATAAATAATAATAATAAATGTTTTGTGGAATTTTAGGTAAAAAAAACCTTAAAATAATAGATTTTCATGGCCACATGTTTTTAGGAGTGTTAAATGTTTATTTATTATTTCAAAATTATAAATTGGAAAAAAAAAAAAAAAGAGAATCATATAGAAAACTAATAGTCTTACAACTGAAAATTTTGCTTGTTACTTCATTGCTTAGGTGGCTAGTTATCAAAGTTGAACAATCGGTCTAACGGAAAATAGTGTGCTCGTATTATATTATTGGGTCTATATATCGAAACTCATCCTTTCTCGTAAAACGTGGTATGTTTGAAGACTAGTATGACAATTTCGGGCACCTTTCTCACTTGTTTTAGAAAAATGATAGTGTAAAATTTATTAACCCACGAATTGAGTTAAAAATAGGGTTATTCTATTTGTTTTCGGTAGATCGTGACCTAATCAGTGTGTTCTTGCTTATAGATATGGAAGGTGGGAGAAGGTAGGTCACTTTCGTTCAAAATAAAACACCTTTATCGGATTAGAATCGTTGACATCGAATGTGTTGTTCAGCTTCGCGAGTTTACATGTGTAACAGTAAATATTGTTCATTTTACCTCGTTACTTATCGTCGTTAATCTCACGATTTTAAAAAGCGTCTACTAGTGAGAGATTTCTACACTCTTATAAAAAATGTTTTGTTCCCATGTCCAACCGATGTGGGATCTCACAATCTACCTCTCTTGGGGGGGGGGCCAACATCCTCGTTGGCACACCGATCAATGTTTGGCATTGATACCATTTATAACAGCCAAAACCTCACTACTAGCAGATATTGTCCATTTTGGCCCGTTACATATCACTATCAACTTGGTTTCCAAACCCTTATAAGAAATGTTTCGATTTCTTTTCAACCAATGTGGGGTCTTACCATATGTCTTTCTCATAGCTCCCAACGACTTTTGAAGAAATTAAGGAAAGACGGGCAGCCATGTTAGAAAAGTAATAATAGGTTGAAAATCGTACACATGGAAACATTGGACAAGTACACATTCTATGTTTTTTCTTGAGCCACCAATGTTTTTCAAACATCTCTCCTTCTACGAAGCTCACATCAAAACCCTACAAAAACACCCATCTCCTCCTCCTTTACAAACACCCATCTTTTTTTCCTCTCTTTAATGGAGAATCTTAGAAGCCTTCCTAATCATCTTCGTCACGAGAAACTCGAAGCTTCGAATTACCGAGCAACAATGGCGAACAAACCCATCAAAGTGAAGTACATTTCAAGTCCCATGATGGTGAAGGCCAACAACGAGTCTGAGTTTCGAGCCATAGTTCAGAAGCTCACCGGCCAGCACTCGGCCGATGATGCTTTTGATCGATCACCTCAAGAATTCAACCATGCCTTTTGTCCCTCGTCGTCTGCGACGACTTCTTTTGACTCAAAGGATTGTTATGGTTTGGTTTCTGGTGATGCTTACGATCTGATCGGGGTCGGTGAAATGAAAAATTCTTTATATGGGTTTCAAGCTTCTTATGTTGATGTATGGAGATAGAAAGTCAATTTTGTATTTAATATTTTAGAGATAATTAATAAGATGATCGAAAAACTTAAAAAAGAATTGAAAGTTACTGCTTATACCAACTAGATATCTCTTCTTTTTTGTGGACCAATCGTAGGAACTTCATAGTTGAGTGTCCTTTGCTTCAAGCAATACTATGTTAGGTGACTTCTTGAAAATTTCTATAGAATGCATGTGAGTGAAGACAAAACATGTTAGAATGACTCGTATGTGTTGGTTTGTGGGGATAAAGACCGAGTTTGAAGTGGAAATTTTGAATCTAAGAAAGGAACATGATATCAAATGCCAACGAGATATGTCCACATCAGCACGTTAATACATATATTCAAATCTTGAGGCTCGACTCTAGATAAGCGGTGGAAACTATCGAGCTCGAGTACAGCACACCAAAGATTTTTCCATTTGCTTTCTTTTTCCTTAGATATTGTTTATATTACCCACTTCCACTTTCCCCTCCCTTTCCTCAAAACTAACCCTCCTTATCTACGGTATTTTTTTTCTCTCGTTCAGCTCGATAGTAATTGATATGTATTTTCAATCGAGAAGTTAGAGGTTAGAACCACTTTACTTCTCGAACCCTTTTTTATCTTTAAAAACTAAATTTACGGCTGAAAGTAAGGGTGTTCAAGAAAACTCGATGATCCAAAAATTTGAGTTGATTCACAGAGTTTCTTTAATTCAATTCAAATAAAATATTAATTTAAAAAATACATTATTTTGTTCGACTTGAAATACGTATTAACGAAGTTTTGTAAAGTTTAAGGATGTTATTGAATAAGATAAAAAAATTTGAATATTTTCTTCCATTTAGCTATATAAACACTTTATTTTAATTCCTTAAACCGGAATCATTTACCTGTCAAAGAAGTACCCCAAGTCAAACACGTTTGAGTTTTTATGATCGAGTGACCGAAAAGACAAGCGCATATCATCTCGATTCATTCATGCTCCTCTTCTTCGAGACCATGGCCTCTAGTGCTTAAAGGATCTGCCCCGAACTTGGATCATAGTCGATGGGTTCGGTTTAAAAGCATCCATATCTTTAAAAGCATAATAATTGAAAGTGAAGGTAGAAAATTGAATTGTTTGATGAAAGAAGTTTAGTTTTGTCGTTTATGAATTTGTTTATTTTTCTTTGGAAAAGATTATGTTGATTGATAAATGATTGTGATTGATGTTGATTTTAAATTTGACTAGTATTAGTATACCACATGAATTTCAAACAACTATGCCCATAGATGTGACTAGTAAATATATGATTCAAAACATTTTGAAATTTTCAATATGTATTCAAACTCCAAATTTGACTTGAAAGTCTACTTTATCGGTTTTATTTTTGTTTTGGTTTAAATTATATTTCCGCTCGTGTACTTTGAATTAGGGGTATATATTGAACACGAGAATCCGAGTACTTGAACTGACTCAATCCAAATTATAAGGGTTGAGCTGGGTTATATAGCATTTTGGGTTGGATTAGGTTGTGTTTTCAGGACTCGATCCAATTCAGGTCTAGTTCAGTGACAGAAAGGATCATGTCAACTCGACCCAACTCGTTACGTTAAAAAAAGAAAAAGAAGCCCCGTTCATCTTCAGCGCAAGAGCGCTCGATCAGTGAGCTATTACGTACTCTTTCAAGGGTGGCTGCTTCTAGGCAAATCTCCTGGCTATCTTTGCAACCCCTACCTCCTTTATCACTGAGCAGTCATTTAGGGGCCTTAGCTGGTGATCCGGGCTGTTTTCCTCTCGACGATGAAGTTATTCCCTATCGTCTCATTGGCCGACTTTGCCCCTTGTTATTTTAAGATCATATATAGTATTCTGAGTTTGTCTCGATATGGTACCGCTCTCGCGACCTGCACTAAAATAGTGCTTTACACCTAGATGTCCAGTTAATTGCTGCGCCTCAACGCATTTCGAAGAAAACTAGCTAGCTCTGGGTTCAAGTGGCATTTCACCCCCTAACCACAACTCATCCTTCAACATCAGTCGGTTCGAGCTTCCACTTAGTTTCACCCAAGCTTAACGGACAGATAGTCTTGGGTTCAACTCAGGCATTGAAAAAATTCAAGGCTCAGCACTCGCTAACTTAGTAGCGAGCCAACGACACCTTTTCATGTTTCAAGGCCAAAAATATTGACCCGAGTTCTTCTTCCTCCTCACATCAAACTTCAACAGTCTTTGAGCATCAGACACCGAACGATGTGCTAGCCTTCTCACTGTTCCCCGAAGGGGGTAGACACGAGGTGATGTGCCAGTAAGGACGCTGGGCCCCAAAGTGGGTGGATTTGGGGGTGGTCCCACATCGATTGGAGGAAGGAAAGAGTGTCAGCGAGAACGCTGAGCCCCGAGAGGGGGTGGATTGTGATGTCCCACATTGGTTGGGAAGGAGAACAAATCACCATTTATAAAGGTGTGGAAAACTTCCCCTAACGTTTTAAAGTCTTGGGAAAAGCCCGAAAGGGAAAGCCCCCTAACGTTTTAAAGTCTTGGGAAAAGCTCGAAAGGGAAAGCCCAAAGAGGACAATATCTGCTAGCGGTGGATCTGGGCCGTTACATTCTTCTTCCACGTATTCCTATTCCTAGATTTTTAAAATTGAATTAAATGATTATGTATTGTGGATAAATAAATTTCTTTTGAACAATGCGACGACCCATCCCAATCCAACCCATGTACATACCCTACTTTGAATGTCATTTCATTTTATTCTAGTTCACGCAATTTCAAACGTTTCATTCAATCCATATACTTTCAATAAATCTTAAAATCAATCACCAACAAGAAAACATCAACTTAGGCCTTATGTTGACCTAGAACACATGAAAAAATGTTAATAAAAAAGTCAACTCCGGGTGGATCAAATCAGGGTGTTTGGTCAAATAGCCAAAATCACTCTCAAACATGTCTTTTATGTAGTCTCGAAACCTCTTCTCTATGGCGGGAGGTCGATAAAAATAGATATATATATATTTTTTTTTGTGCTAATTAAGGTTGACAAAACAACTTGAATCAAAACATTATTCTGAACTGATTACTTATTGTTATATATAAAGGTAATGGAAACAATCTCAGGGAAAATACAACTAAGAGATCTATGACAGGATGATGCCTTCTACTTCACTGGCTGTCTCAAGAACTCTAAAAACTCTGTAAACAAAGCTGGGCTACAATGAATGCTAGGAAGTGATTCAAGCAATTTCTAAGCCATAATTTGGAGGCAGAGTTGGCTCCATTTCACCTCAAACTGCAGGGAATATTTGAATCTGAGGAACCCTTTGAGGACATAAGCCTGTGGGGGGTTCCAATTCAGTTTGAATCTTGACAGTTTATGCTCCGACACGAAGAAACTGGAGATTCGGCTGTTAGTCTGTTCGAGGTAACAAAAAACTAAAGCCTGAGTTCTCCCGAATCAGTGGCGGTGGTTCGATGTCTCCGATGTCTATTTGTTCCATAGACTTTGATAAATCATCAACTGAGAATGGAATACTGGAGTACAAGCAACAGACATGTTAAGGTTGTTCTTGTTTTGTGTTTGCCAAAAGAAAGAAAATTCAAAAGATAGATTTTTTGAGGATTAAGTGTCCCACGTTGGCTAATTAAGAGAAAGATCATGGGTTTATGTAAGGAACACTATCTCCGTTAGTGTAATAGCCCAAGCCCACCGCTACAGCAGATATTGTCCTCTTTGGGCTTCCCCTCGAGATTTTTAAAACGCGTCTGCTAGGGAGAGGTTTCCACACTCTTATAAAGAATGCTTCGTACTCCTCCCCAACCGATGGGGAATCTCACAATTAGTATTAGAACTTTCGGAAAAACCAAAAGCAAAACAATGAGAATTTATGCTCAAAGTGGATAATATCATACTATTGGGGAGTGACAATGTTGTTGATACTAACCTCGAATCGTCGTCCAATAGAAATGAATTGCTAATTGCATGGTTCGAATCTTCAGTCATTAACACCCTCATATTGGATATAACCTAGGAGAACATTCAAACAATAAAGATCTATGCACTTTTGAAAAAAATGAACATAAACAAGGGTGCTTCATACAAAAAATGATAGAATGTGAAAAATCTTACATCAGGGGAAACACTATGAGTACCATACTTGTCGTCCCAGTACATCGTACTGATACGATACAGCTGCTGTATGCTTAGTACCTGCAAACGAAGAATTTCGTTTCGTGAATTCCAAGGAAACGGTGAATAACTGCGAAAAACAGTACTCGTGTATAAGCAGTGAATACAAAATGCTTAGACGTCACTTACGGGGCATAGATCGTGACTTATTTCGTCTAACGTCTTCTTTGGCTTCTGATGAATAACCTTAACATTACAAAAACAAGAATTCACCCCAGTTTCCTGTTTTCTAATTCAAAAAAATTTTGTGCAAGGAGTTGAACATAGTAAAATAACGGAGAGATACCAGAAACCCGATCGCTTGTCGTATATGCTTAAGCTCGTCCCAAGCAGAACCTGCATACTGTAGTTTCATTTTACCATTTAGTAACTGTGTTTAACAAAGTAAACAAGGTAAAGCAGCATACTCAAGGTACCTCATCAGTAGCTTTATAACACCAATGCTCTAATTCAGACAGTCCAGCTTTGACGTATTCACCGTTGCTAAACGAACAACACTCTCGTCGTAATAGAAGACTGTCGAAAAAGTAAATAAATTTTCAGACTCGGAAAAATTCTTAGTTAAGTACTTCAGGAACAAGAAATGGAAGAGCTCAACACCTGTTAAATAGTTGAACGTTGATGAAAGAAAATATTTGTATGAAGACTTTACGAACCAAAAATGGAGGTACCTACAATGACATGAAACACATGAATGAATCAGAAAAAGAAAATTGTTTCAAAACAATCAAAAAGGTTTTGCATACATGATTTGCTTTTAAGGTGTTCAAGAAGTTCCCGAGGCTCTTCACAATTCCTTGCCAGTGAGCGATTAAGGCACGTTGCGCCTCCGTGGTGGCAACTGAACGAGAAGATCCCTTAACCAAACTTGCCCTTGATGTTCTTGGTGCCTTTTCAATATTACATGAACAAAACTTAGTAATTTGGAAGAAACGAAACCAATGAAGTTAACCAGCTAACTACACATACCTGGATGCACAATCCTAGCAATGGAGAAATTTCTTTCTTCAGATTGTCTCTTATCATTCCATAAATTTTCTCTACATAGGCTGTCAGCTGCTGCTTGAACAACAAAGCAGGGTACTTTGCTTCGACTTGTCGTAACGAGTCCACTCCACCACTAGTTCCACCATTGATTAAGGATAGACTAACTCCTTGTGGAGCTCCTCGAAAACTCTAGAGAAGGATAAAAAACGACATCGAATGAATTCAAGTATGATACTAGTTTATAAAGAAGAATTTTTTGTTCTTATGCATTTACTTGAGTCATCCTCCCGAATAGCGTGGCTGATGACGATCGGCGACGTTGTGGAGCCATTCCAGCAGCGCCACTTGCTTTCAAAGTGCGCTGAAGCAGTAAGAGAAGCGTTGAAGCGTTGGACAACCAATAGGCCAAGACGTCGTTGTTATCCTGGGTCTGTGTATATTCATTTTAGCAATGGCTCTAATGTTAGAAAGAGATGGAACTAAGATCAATCAGTATGAACCTCAATGGCATGGCCAATAGTTTGAATTATCCTATCGAATACACTGGTGCGTTCGACTTCGAACGACCTCCATTGAAGCAGGCATTTGTAGATGATACAAGCAGCTATTGGCCTGTTGGCTGCAAAGCCAAGGTGCTGTGCAATACATCTAATGAGCAGTTCTTGATTCTCTTGCTGTTTCTCATTAAGAGATTTTTGAGGTTTGTCCTCTACTTCTGATTCCCTTTGGTTAATAGAAGGGCTGTGAAGATCCTGATTCAGTCATAATAAATGAGGAAAATGAGTTTTTATTGATTCCTTCAAACAAATTCTATGTTTATGAAAAGCTTTACTAACCAAAGGCGTCCTCCCTTCCCCTCCATAATGACCACTTTCAGCACCTCTCTGTTATTTTGTCATAAAAATTTCACATATAAATATTGAGGCATTAATCTTTCCTACAATGCCAATATCTCACGATACCTGAAGAATCGATCTAGACCGTCCCGAGAGGATTTTATTAGGTGCCATAGACACAGCTTGTTGTCGTAAAACTTGATTCTCTGATTCCAAATTGGAAAGCTTCTCTTCTAGCCTAATCAAGAGAGTGTTCAGTTAATCAATTCATCAAAGTCAAATTAGTAGCTCTTTCTCGGGTATAACATAGCTGAAGTGGAGGATCGTTATGCGTTCGGGTTCAAAAGCATGAACTTCTATATCCATTCTCAAAATAATGATATTACCTGGTCAATGATTCCTGGAGCTGATGAGCTTTTTTCTCTGTGTCTTCTAACTTTTTGCGTTGTTCTTCTCTAGACTGTTCTACTTCACCATATTTTTTCTCATATTCATCAGCTCTGTTCTTCTCCGTATCCAGCGAGGTCTGAGACGTCGTAAAGTAAAGGTACTAATCAGTGTAGAAACCATGTTGAACTCAAGATAACAACAAAAAATGATTTAGCTAAATTCAGCTTATATGATGAACCAAATCATTACTACCTTTAAGCTTTCTACTTCTTCTGTCAAAGCATCAATTTTCTTAGTATCTTCAACCAGAACTTGGGTTTCTTGTACAACAGGAGGTGCTTCTTCAGTAGCCTTCTTCACGACCTCTCGCTCCTTTACAAGCAACGCGTTTGTTTCGTCAACTTTCGCCTGCAGTTCTTGCACGATATTTTGGAACTTCGCTATCTCCTGCGCTTTTGCCTCCTCCAGATCCGTCTGCATAGATGATTCAAAGGTTTGCAGGCAAAATATTGATCTTAGCTCAACTTCAGTTTCTGGGGTCAACCAAAAAGGATGATAAAGACTACAAGTAATTGATTATTTCAAATTGAAGGCATTGACTGAATGGCTTCTTAGGGTGTTATTCTCAGAGTTCATTATATGTTCTAATATAAAACATAATCTGTGACATATATTATCGAATTTAATATCAAAACAGTATAATATTACCCTTAGACGTTTTTCTAATTGTATGCGCCATGTAAGTTCTTCCACTTTCTTTTCCAACTTATCCTTTGCTTCTTTAAGCGCACCAGTCTCCCTTGCAGCCTGAAAAAAAATTGAAAATTTTAATTTCTAGTAATTCATGATATTGGATAATGGAAGTATGAGATCCCACATCGGTTGGGGACGAGAATGAAACATTCTTTATAAGGATATGGAAACCTCCCCTTAACAAA